AAATTCTTATATATGTTTTGACAAATGTTTGATATTTTAGTTTATATATTTATGTATTTTCACCTCATTGCTCCAGTCCTCTCTTCAATACGTCACCAATTCATTATAATTTCTTTTTTGGTAATTAAAATCACTTTGTTTTGAAAACTTAATTTAGAAAATGAAAAAGAACTCATATTTCTTTAACTTACGTTTAACAACGTGTATAATCATTTTGATTTTTATTTTCGGATTTTATTTATTTTGTTTTCAATTCAATGTTAATAACAATTTGCCTTTAAACTCTTACACAACACTATGTCATAACTGTAATTAATTTACGCAATATTGCATCGAATAAAAGTTTTCCACATAATCAATTCACTTTCTTTCGTGTTTTATTTTTTTTTCTCGATTTGAATATAATTTTTTTAACGGACATATGGCACGTCCATGAGCAAGATAGACATTAAATGGTAAAATAAAAAAATTAATATTATTTATATTAAATAAAACAATATCTCTCTCCTCAGCTGTTGCGGAAAACATACTGAAATATATTTTTAAACATACTGACACACAAACAAAAAATTAACTACATATAAATCAACTGGAAACTGTGATAAGCACCTAGCAGCGAATTAAATGTATTAAACAAAGATAGGCGCTACAAGGTTTGTTGCTATTTCTTCAGGCGGTTTGTTTACTTTTCGTTTTTCATTTGAAAATTAGGAACCAACAGAAGTGCGCGCATTATTTCAACAAAAATTAAAAGATAAACAAGAAGGTTTAGATATTATTTGTGTTAGGTAGTTTAAATCGCCCTTAACATATAAGAACTTTGTACAATGCATCGACTTTGTCAAGATTTCATAATAGGAAAATATCAGAAAAGTGAAATATTAATTCCTATATACATACATTCTAATATATATATATATATATATATAAGATGTTGTATAATAAAATTAATTAAACCAATGAGGAAAAAACTTCCTTGATAACATGCAGAGTCTGCTATACATGTAAAGCTTTGCTCTTCGGACAACAATCGAAAAGAAAACAAAATGCTCAGGGATGAAGCACAAATATACCGTAAAAAAGTCGTGTTTTTATTTCTACTGAAATGAGGTCATATAAATATGTACTTACATACATACATCTGAAGAATTCATTCAATTCTTATGCATAAGAATTTAAATAATCAGTCATTAAAAAAATTACTTTATTTTGTTGTAGCCACTCATAAAACAAATGTCTACGTCAAAAGTAGACAAGTTGAATTATGGATCTCCCTCCCTCAAATCTATTATGGCAACTAATCAAATCTGTCGGCTCTGAGTTCAATGAAAGTTATCAGTGACAGTATTTGAACAATAGTTTTGAAAAAGTTTGTATGTAGTTTTTTTTTATTATTTTGTAAGAAAACTATTCACGTGGGGAAAAGTGTGTTTAATAGATTTAAATCTATGATGATTTTTTGTTTATGACAGAGCATACAGAATTATCGGAATTATAATAGGATGGCTTTTAAAACATTGTGATTACATATTAACCAGACTTTCTTGTTTTCAAAATAAAATATTTCTCACAAAAACAATTTAATAAATAGTTTATTTTTACACAATTTTGAGATTACAAAATATTGAAAAATGTGAAACTCAATAAGCATTATTGTTTCAATAAAAAGAAAATTAAATAAAAATTGAAAATTATAGATAAATAATTTATAAGAGATTTGATAAGATAGTACCGCCAATTTTATTTTTTGATTTCGTAAGCAATTAAATATTTACCAATATTAAAAGTTGTAGTAGTAATAAAAATGCAACTCTGTAGTGATGTCTTAATATATCATATTTGCTTATAGGTTCGCACCTAAATTCATGTGTACAATTTTCACCTCAAAAGTTAAATATATTTATTTCAAAGAATGTTACCCAAATACGCATCGCGTATCAAACTGAACATTTTCTACATTGACAGAAAGCATTTTGGAATTATTGTTTTTGAAAATAGAATTTAATTCGCTGAAAAAATTGTGTCTCTATAAAAGTCAACATTTTCAATAAATTACAAAATGTTTTCATTTAGATAATAAGTATTTTTGTAGTACGGGCGTTCAAAAACCCCTATAAAGGTAAGAATGTGGGTACTTTCATATACATTGAATTAGGTTCGAGCCATAAACCCATTATGGAAAAATAATAGACGTTGTGTCATTGCTAAATCCAAATACAATTACGAGTTTCTTGTACTTAACCCCTTCATATACAACTATGCAGCTAAACGATTTAAATCAGCAATAAAAAAAAATAATTAGTTTACTTTTTATAAATTTAAGAAAATAAGATTGAACGGCTTTAGACTAGTCGGTCGATATAAAATTCACATTAAGTAGAGCCAAAAATATTTATTATTTTTCTGTCGGAAGTGCGTGGCCGAATTTCGGTCACATAACTTATATTGATGCAATCTGGATCCAGTCCATCAATTTATGGGTATTATTGAATAGATGTGATTAATTACTTATTCCGTAATCTGAAAAATTAAAATATCGTCCTAACAACACGTAAATAATAAATACAAAAATCTCTTTTCTATATCGCAATGGAATTCAGATATTGTACTTTTAAAAACAGCAATTAGACAAATAGAAGAAAAACAAACATAACATATTAGTTAGTTGTACAGTTGCAGTGTATAACATTGTTGGAAATCAACGACAATTGTAGATACTAATTATTTTTTATGCAGTTACAATTGTCCAAATTGAAAATCGTGCAATACCAATGAAGCAACAAGTACAACTAAGTTTCAGGAATTTTTTTTATCGAACAAAATAATATTTAACAATTCTTAGAAGTGGATAAATGCTCCATCGACTACAATAAACCTATAATTAAATAATATTAACGTTGTAATATCGGTAATCATTTCAGCAAATGGAAAGGAAATTCAAATTACTCCTACATTTCTTCTCGATATAGCACAAGAAACAATAATTACCAGCGAGAAATATACATTCATGTTTTTGTTATTAGGGTTCGCAAATACGTCAAAGGTTTAATTAAAGAAAAATCACATGAAATTAATTAAACTCAACTGAAATTGTAATACAAATTTAAAGGTTAGAAAGACTAACACCAAATAATATCTAAATTACATAGTACAAACCCTTAATAATAACACATCGTAGACATTTTGTGTGGAAGTTCAATAATCACTATCACTAAAATTTAACGTCGGCAATAACTTTAGAATATTTAAGATGACAATGCATTTATGACATTTGAAAAATAGCGTGACTGTTTTAAATTTTGTCAGTATCATATTGAGGAAAATATACTTCCTTAAACATAGTTGAAATATTTGGTCATTGATGTTACATTTATGAACCTCTTGTCATGCCTAAAATGTGAAAATGTTTTCCGTCATCGATAACACGTTTAAAAAAGAAATACTTATTAAATTAATACGAGTGGAAATTGCCATTGTTGTCGAACATTATCATTTGTCAAGAAATAATGAATATATTAAATAATGTCGCTCAATTTAATACAAAAAATGCAATCCTACAAGATCACCAAAAAAATGTCGTGTGGAAATTTTACTTAAAGTTTATCGATACAACTTGCAAACCATGGCAAAATAATACAAAGTCGGATGTCATGAGTTGAATAACGAAAACGCAACTCGGTAGATAGTGTCTGCTATATTACTTAAAAAATATATATATATTAAATAACACGAGATAATATTTAAGTTCCATTTTCATTTTTTATTTATTTTTTATATTTATATAAAATCTTTTTAATATATAAATATTATTTAATAAATGATGTAATAAAAATATTTTTTGAAAATATTCTTTAACAAAAATTTGAAACCTTCCAAATTTAATTTAAATTAACAGTTTCGCCTTTGTAATGTTTCTGTCAATTGGCAATATGCCATTTTATGGCATACGTCAAAATTAATGGTATACCATACATAATAAACTTGGCAACATTTTCTTACCAGAAATCTCCAAAATTACTTTGACAACAAACGTGTTTCTACTAACCTTAAGACGAGTACACACTATGAATTTGGGCTGTCAAGTGAACGGGCACATTAACCAGAAAGTTTTGGGCCAAACCGTCATTCAAATGTGATAGTGTATATACTGCTTTGTTTCCGTTTGTTTATAAATTCATATCTCAAATCAGAAGCTAAAATTCCCGTTTTTATTTTGACTACTAGATAAATTTGGTATTTATTTCTTTGTTGTGTTTTAGAGCTTGTATTTAATACGCAGCTAATAAATATATTTTTTAGGATTATATATGTTAGGACCTGAAAATAAACGAAAAAAGAAAATTTTGAAACAAAAATTTTTTTCTTTTCACTATTCATTTTAATTTTTGTAAGAAATTCAAATTTTGCATTGGTTTTCCAGAAATAAGGTAAATTTTTCACATCATACTTAGGATAGTTGCACTTAATCTGTGCACATAAAATAGTTCGATGGTCGTATACGCTTGGAGCTGATGTTTGAAATCTATTGGATTTAGTAGTGTAAACGCGCTTTTATAGTGACACTGTATAAATTGTATCTAAAATATATATAATTTATATATATATATATATATATATATATATCCACACTGATAATTTTTTTTCTGTTTTATTTAAATGCCTTCCATGTTATTTCATTTTCAGTTTATTTTTATAATATATATATATATATATATATCTTTACTTATATTATAACTTTATTGCAGCATTGTTAAAAATATAATTATATGTATAAATTGTATCTAAAATGCGTTTAAGTGACACTTAAATACTCCATGGATTATATATAATTTATATTTCTTACAAATACCACATTGATATTTTTATCTTTACTTTTTAATTCAACTTCATTCCATATAATTTTAATAAATTTGCTCATATAGTAAATATGGCAACATAATATACACAACAGTATTGCCACAATTCTAAAAAACTAACTCTCTCACACGTTTTTCTCCAAATATCTCTCCAAATGTGTATGACAGCCGGAAACAGCGTTCAAAAATTTGGCAGCACTGCAACAACATGTTCTTTTTCTGGCGAACGCCACTGCTGTTTGCATCGGGGATAATTTTTCTTAGTGAAAAAGTAAGATTATTTATTGAATTATTGAACAAAAAACATTACAAGACTATGAATAAATACCAAACAAAACTATTTACTGTGCCATGTAATGAAATTAAACTCATTGTCCGTGCATATTACGGTGAAAAAGGAATTAAACCCAATCACGGTGTGTTGTGTTGAGGTTATGGATGATTGTGTCTGTCAAATGAGAAAAAAATGTGTGTGAAAACGGCTGACTGGGCATGGCTTTTGCGTGGAGCCACACGTGTACATGTACTAAAATTATTGAATTTTAACAGATATTTTTATTAAAAATACGTCCATAACTAAAACCATTGAGTTCTTCATAGTGAGTTCCTTGGTATTCAATTGGACTACAGCAAACTCCATGGTTGACTATTCCTCTTAAGGATATCGGCTCAAAGATATAAACCTTAATAAAGTGAAAATCAACATTTTTAAATTCGATTTATATACCAGAGAAGAAAAGTGTGAACCCAGATGATATTCCAGCCCCAAATATGATGAATGATGATGTGAATGTTTATCAATCTGTCTAGTGTGATTATTATCAGTTTCAATGTTGTCCAAAACTAAAACCATTTTGTTGTTGTTGTAGACTTTTTGGTATTCAATTGGACTAAAGTAAACATCATGGTTGACTATTCCTCTTAAGGATATCGGCTCAAAGATATAAACCTTAATAAAGTGAAAATCAACATTTCTGAAGACTCACATTCGTGTTAGCCCCAATACTTTGAGGAATTGAAAATAATAAACATTTTTTATTTTATTGCAGAATGGCTGAAGTAGTTGAGAACGTTACCGAAACCTTCGAGGAACAACCTCCAATTGAGACCGAGGGTGCTGAAACTTTGTTGGAAACCAACGTTGTTTCCACCACTGAATTGCCCGAAATCAAATTGTTCGGTCGCTGGTCTTGCGATGATGTGACCGTCAGTGATATCTCCCTGGCTGATTACATTTCCGTTAAGGAGAAATTCGCTCGCTATTTGCCCCACTCTGCTGGTCGTTATGCCGCCAAACGTTTCCGCAAGGCTCAATGCCCCATCGTTGAACGTTTGACCTGCTCCTTGATGATGAAGGGTCGCAACAACGGCAAGAAGCTCATGGCCTGCCGTATTGTCAAGCACTCCTTCGAAATCATTCACTTGTTGACTGGTGAAAATCCTTTGCAGGTATGTAAATCAAGAAAACAGAAATCTATGGAATGTCCTATGCTAAACTGCTATAAAGAAATATCAATTCCATCTTATAGCGGGTAGAATAGGACATAGATTAAATATTCATTTAACCATGACGCTATTTCGAGAAAAACAACGTGACATGGTCAATGGTTAAATGAAAACACTATTTCACTTCTAAAAATGTTAAATATTTATTTGTAAGATTTTCGCCTAACAACATTTATTTTCATTCCAGATCCTCGTCAGCGCCATCATCAACTCTGGCCCTCGTGAAGATTCCACCCGTATCGGTCGTGCTGGTACTGTCCGTCGTCAAGCCGTCGATGTGTCTCCTCTCCGTCGTGTCAACCAAGTAAGTTTATTGAATATTATACCCACAACCATGTGATGCCTTGCACAATATCTTTCAGTGTTAATTATATGACATGAGAGACTATAACACAGGGCTATATAAATAAAAATAACCCAATATATTGTCTTTTGTCCGTAGCGTTATGAAGCCACTTTTCCAGGCTCATAATGTATGAAACAGAGATACAAAATTGCAAAAAATAAAACTTTTTATGTGTAAAGTTTCTATTGAACAGGACTCTAAACAATATTTTATTATCATATTTTTAGGCTATCTGGCTTTTGTGCACTGGTGCCCGTGAAGCTGCCTTCAGAAACATTAAGACCATCGCTGAATGTTTGGCTGATGAACTTATAAACGCTGCTAAGGTAATTTAAAAATAATATGATTCTTCTTTGATTCTTTATTTTAAAATATTAGCTTTAATGTAATTTGACCTACAAATGACTCGAGAACCGAAAAAAACACATTCATAATGTATGTGGTCTCCTCTAATACTTTCTTATGTTGCAAATTGTGTAGCAATATTAATGTTTATTATTTTCCTGACATCTGCAGAAATTTGGATTTCATTGTGTTCGATAAACGTAAATCTACAAATTTGGACCATTTTCAGTGTCCTCTCTAATGCTTTGTTATGTCTTCATTCGATTAACAAAGCCTCGCTTGTGGACAAGATCAATTGATAGTTTTATTATCCTAGCTTTTGAAGTAATCAACATTTTATATAGCTCGAGAAACGTAAAACTACATTCCTAAATATCTTCACATTTTATCTAAATGGTTTCAGTATGTCCTCTCTAATGCCATGTTATGTCTAATAGCCGATTAACAAGGCCTCGCTTGTGGACTATATAAAATATGGTTCTATTATCCTAGCACCTGAAGTAACTAAACAATTTAGTGTGCTCGAGAAACGTAGATCTATAAATGTATATAATTAATAACTCATGATTCAATAATGGTCACTCCCAAATCTTAGTTTCGGACATGTCCTCTCTAATGCCATGTTATGTCTCATAGCCGATTAACAAGGCCTCGCTTGTGGACTATATAAAATATGGTTCTATTATCCTAGCACCTGAAGTAACTAAACAATTTAGTGTGCTCGAGAAACGTAGATCTATAAATGATTTTGTGTAGATTTTACTTTTAAATTCAAGTTCTAGACATGGTTTCTGCTTGTCCTCTCTAATGCCATGTTATGTCATAAATCCGAATAACAAGGCCTCGCTTGTGGACTATATTAATTATGGTTCTATTATCCTAGCACCTGAAGTAACTGAACAATTTAGTGTGCTCGAGAAACGTAGATCTATAAATCTTTTAAGTTAGATTTTTCAAATGTATTTTATGTTATAAAATTGGTTTTAAACATGTCCTCTCTAATGCCATGTTATGTCTCATTGCCGATTAACAAGGCCTCGCTTGTGGACTATATCAATTATGGTTCTATTATCCTAGCACCTGAAGTAATTGAACAATTTAGTGTGCTCGAGAAACGTAGAACTATAAATGTATTATTTTTAACTATTTTATAAAAAAATATAGAATCGTTTCTAATATATTTATCTATTTTTTCTATTCTTCATTTTAGGGTTCCTCCAACTCCTATGCTATCAAAAAGAAGGATGAATTGGAACGTGTCGCCAAATCCAACCGATAAATGCTTCATGCTTCACTATTATATACAATATGTTGTTGTATATATGTTTACACTTTTTTAAGTAAATGAAAGATAATAAAAACAAAAACATTTAAAAATTTATTTTCTATTTTTTATATTTTATTGTTTTATTTGATGCGCATAAATAAAAATAATGGGAGGCATAAGGAAATTCATAAAAAATATAGTTTATATATAAGAAAGGTTCAGAAAAAAAAAATAGGTGGAGAGACGAAAAAATTTGTTCGGCCTGTGAGGTTTTTTGCGTTTCTTTGTCCAAAATTGGTTACACCAGGCAAACAGAATCTGTAGATAGTCGATCATTTTTACGATGTGTCACCCTGTGATGTTCAATTTTAGCTGCCCATTGTAAAGCATACTTTGCGGCGCTGAAATTAATTAACCACTTAGGGCATTATATACGCAATGCTATATAAATTGTGCATCCTAAAAGTATGCTTCGGAAACTTCCATACATAAACTTGTATTACTGGGTGTTCCATTATTTTTCAACTCAAATGAATCCAAGTTACTATCTACAGCACACCATCTACATCCAATGGGAAATATATTCTGAAAAATTTCATATTTATAAAAATATATATATTTTTTTAAATTCATACATGTACACAAAGCCATATTTATTCAAAAAATACATTTCGTTTACAACTTTTGGACTATATTCGAAGATTGGCCCAAATATTATCTAATGATATTTTAATTTGATATATTCTGGATACGATTGAACACACAATTACATTTGCTTATGGTCTCATTTGTGGTGGATTGATAGTTTAATTTTCATACTTTGTTGTTTACCTTTGCAACTTTTTCATTTTGTAGTTATGGCTGGGGATATATACGTTTTTTTAATGTTAGATTCTACTTAGACATTTTTTATATTGTTGATACTATTTGTTGGCCTTGAAAGCTTTGGTGTTGTTATTTAATAAATACAAAGTAAAATATATTATAAATAAGTTTATATTTTGGAATATCGCATACAATTTGTTTTAGCCAATTCAATTAGTCACAACAGTCATTGATATCATTTATCATATTCCTTACGTCTGTCTCAGAAGCTGCAAGAATGTAAAATTTTTTACTACGACAATTTTTAAACTATGATATCAAAAAAATAGCAAAATTTAGTAGATTCTTGCAGTTCTGGAAAAGACCACCTATATTATTAAAAAATATTGATTTTTTTAACTTTTTAAATTATGAAACTAAATTATGAAAGTTTACTTACATTTTCAAATTACCAATCTGCAAATAGCTTATTTATGATCACATGTATTATATATAATTTTAAGATAACTCTGAACATTTTTTTCATATCATATTGTACAACATGTATTTCGATTGAAAAATGATTACTTACTGGTGTGAAGCTGGTATGCAATTGTTTATAATTAGTAGTACATTTTTTAATTAAATAAAAATAAAAAAATAAAAAAGTGAAATAGATGTAATTATTTTTATTGTTTTATTATGTAGGAATTTTGGTCAAAATAGCAAAAAAATAAAAATACTGCCAAGGTAAAATATATCCATGCATTGATAACAAACATAAATAAGAAGATATCATTATAAGTAGAATATTATCAAAGTAAAGAGCATTGAATTATCATAACGGCACATAGATTATTCGTAATCTCTTAAATTTATATTCGTTCAGTTTAGAGTTACTGCAATAGCTTCTCTTGGCAAGTTGGTATGAAAGAATCACACTGACAGTACTGAAAGGGCTTGGGAAGAGGCGAAAGCGAAAAATTGCAATACAATTAATTACATCATACATAAATGTCTAGTGCAGTGTCTTTAAATCAATATAATTTAAATTAAAAAACAATAACTAACGAAGTGATATTTAAAATATTAATTTATTTTGAAAATTAATCAATAAACATAATTACAATATTTAATTGTTAAGAGAAATTCATATAGAACAGCCTTAGGAAGCCTTTTTAATTAATCAAATTCATTAACGCCTATTTTAATGAAGTAAAATTAAAAGAAAAAAACTTAGAAACATTTAATATATAACATTTTATAAATACAAACAACAAGTGATTATTTTGTAATAAATAATAGACTTTTTACAAACGACCCAGAAATTGATTCTTTATAACTAAAACAACAACAGCAATAACTACCAACAGGAATATTAACAATATTCTAGACAAGATTATAAGTTGTGCACCAAAGCAGCAGCAGCAGAAAGCGCTCTTTTTTGGCGCCTTTCGCTTTGCCGACTATTCGCATCATCTCAAGTAGGAAGCGTGAGTTTTCAAATATTTTACAGTTAGATTAGACGTCAAGCTCAGCAAGCGATACAAATTTGGCGGATTAAGATGAAATTAACCTATTCTCACAATATCAATTTGTTTCTTTGGCAGACAACAATTAGATAAGGAAATAACTTAGGTTCCAAATTATCAAAAATATATTTTTATGAAATAAAAATCTAAAACTTTAATTGGAATTTGTAAACAATGGCAGAACGTTATTACAGGTTTGTCAAATGAAATTAAAACAAAAATATGGCATTAAGACAAAATTCCTTTCGTCTGTATAGCAACCTACATCCCGATGAATCCTCTAAGGTGTATATGAACTACAATGTAATGCAGGCGCCGGCGCCTGCTCCGCACATTAATAGTTTGGCAGGCATGACAACTCAAATGAACAACGATTATGACTATCTGGCAAATACCGCTGCTTATTATACAACAGTGGCTACGTCCAATTCTGGCGGCATGGCTGTGGTCGATATGAATAACAACCGTTCAACAAGTCGCTACTACAATGTTGGTGGTAATAACGGTAAGCAGAATATTGTATGTGGAGTTGGCAGTGGCAATAGTCAGTCGGCTCACATCTACACTAACAAAGTCCTACCTTCATCTCTGATGACCAAATACACTACTGCTGGCAGTTATATGCATGGAGGTGGTGGCACAATGATGACCACTCATGTACCCTCCAATGACACAAATCCACACCACTCACATTCGAACCCGTCTCAGGGACATTACAACAATCACAACAATGCCAACACCTATGGCGGTTATCAGAGAAATCGCTATATGCCCTATAATCGCTCGACAACCCCAAGCACTTTACACCACAATGCATCCATGCCACATTCAACGACAGCAATTGCCACCTGTGGCCCATTGACATCGGCCTCGGCTATTTCAAATGCCGGCTATCATCAATTTGCTGCACCTGTATATCAGACCACTTGTACACCAGGTGGTATGATGCAGACCTTTGCATCGGCCACGCCACTCAGTGCGGCATCCGTACAACAACAGACATCATTACATCCACACTCAATGACATCAACATCAATTTGTAATCCTGGGAATCAGGAATTCACCTACGCCCATGCTGTATCGGCATCGCTAACCCCATCAACTACAGTAACAACAACAGTGCCCAATAACGGTGATAACAAGAATTCAATTTCTCTTGCTACAGTTGTTACGACATCGGGCAATGGTGGTGGCACTACGTCATCAGGTAGTACTGTCATGGCGTCCACGCCATACAGTTCGGGACAAACATTTTCTACGGTTAGCGATCCAAACGACACGGTTACCTTGCAAATTACCAATTTGGATTATTCTATGGATGAAGTCAATTTGAGGAACTTCCTACTGAATCAATTGAAACCGATAACACCAGTGGTGTCGCTCACATTCGAAGGTAGTTCCTATGCCAAAGTTACTGTACCAGATTTATATGTAAGTACCTCCTACAGGCATTAGTATGTGTTGGGCTTTCAATGCAAACATATTAATGAGTTTCTTTAGTTTGCCAAGCAGGTGGTCTCCAATTTACACCGTAAGAAAATCGGACACAAACGAATGTTGGTCTCCTATACCAGGGATTCATCACTGACTGAAATCAATACACTGAGATGTCAAGTAGCCGGTCTACTGAAGGTAACATTGCATCGTTCAGCTATATCAATATACTCTCAATTGTTTTCTTATAGGATGTGCCATGCTACACCCTACCCATGTACAAGTTCCGCGAACTATTTCAATCACGTTTCAAAACATCTATAAGCGTATTGGACCTGTACAAAATGCAAGATATTTGCATTATTAACTCAGACAACAACGAGGAAAAGTTTATTACTCTGCATCCCGATTTGGTCAATTCCTTGGAGAGCTCACCCCTAATGGAGGGTTTGCAACACAGTGTTCCCTACTGTACAATACACTTTAAGAGGGAGCAGCATAAGGGATGGGCCGAACAAGAAATCGAACCATTACCCAATGTTTTCATGACCATCTCCGAGATTCAACAAATCATTCATCCACTTTTGAAAAATCACACTGGAGATATACCCGTGGCCTCCTTGGTGCACTGCATAGAAGGTCAATTAAAAATTCAAATCACACCGAACGATAACGGCGTGAATTTGGAACATTTGGTGTGTTGCGTCCAAGGCATACAAATCACGGTCAACAATTTTGGCATAAAAATACTAGGGTGGCTTGAATTGAATAAAGACAACAACGGCCAGTCATCAAACTCGAATAGTGAACGATCGAATCTCTATTCGAAGAATTCTATATCGGACCCGTTGTATCAGATTTCTCGCGAAGTCATCGAACTTGTTAAAATGTCTCCCAAGGCCACAATGAAATTCAATCGTTTCATACCGGCCTACCACAATCATTTCGGCAAGCAATGTCGAGTTGCCGATTACGGTTACACCAAATTGATAGAACTTTTCGAGGCATTATCTTCGGTGGTGCAAATTATGGGAGATGGAGAAAATCGTCAAATCACCCTGACCCATCGAACACAAATACGACGCTTCACATCGGATTTGCTAAGGGTTTTGAGGGCCCATGGCAATAAGTCGGTTTTACTGTCACAATTGCCAAACATTTTTGCCCAAACTCAAAATCGAACATTCGATGTTACTGACTATGGCGTCTGTGACATTGTGGATATTTTAGATGGTTTGGTCAATTCAAATATTGTAGTTGTATCCACGGTGCAGAATGGTAAAGATATTTTAATATCCATACCGAAGCGTAAACAAACAACAAACGAATTGGAAAAGACCTGTATTTTTGCTGGTGAAATTGTGGAACTCTTCAGTAATGCACCGCAGTATACGATCCTCTTTCAGAAATTTGTTCGTTCATATCACTACCATTTCGGCTACCAATGTCGATTGAGTGATTATGGGTTTCAAAAGCTTGCCGATCTAATGGAGGCTGTACATGGAGTCGTGGAAATGGAGCTAACCAACGATGAGGATAAGAAAATTTATCTGACAGCAAAGGTGGCTCGTAGAATATTTGCCGAGCAATGTGAAGAACTTATTGCGGCTACCACAGGTATAAAGAAATATAAATATGTTGTAATTACTTCTACTTTTTGTACCAAATATCTATTCTTTGGTGTAAAGAAAATGTTCCAAGTATGTTCAATATTTCCTCTCGTTTTAGGCTCTGGAAAAACTTGCATGAAATGGGAGGACGTTGTAAAACTGCACAAGAAGAAATATGGTTATCAAATACAGGCTCAAACATTGGGAGTCAAGGATATTAAACAGGCTTTAGACCTATTGCCATATGTGGAGGTATGTAAAATAATATTGAACTATTCTCCCTCAACACATATTTCATATTTGTTTGTAGACATTCGAAAAGGAAGACTCTACGTGGATGATATGCCACAAAGGTGACAATGTCTTTCGTACATTATGTTACAGGGCCAGTAAGTACTTATTATCGCATGAAGCCGAAATGTTTGAACAAAAAGATTCCAAGGAACACGAAATCTTTAAGAATCTTCTAACATTGAGTGATTTCATAAAGAATTTCAACGAAAAGAACAAGGAATCAATAACTGAGACTACAGTCAAAGCCATGAAACATGCCATTGAGGTAAAATAAAAAAATCACTGTATTTAATAGTCGAATCGGATAAACTTTTTTTCCTTGTAGATTGTTATCGAAAATGATAGTAAATTTGTAAGAATCTCTGGTTTGATGCATTTCCTCATGAACATAATTCGTCTGCTGGAACAGCGTGCACCAATGCTATTGTTGGAAATAAAAAATGCTTTGGACAGTACGATAAGCACCACCTTCGAATTTGGCTATCCCAATTTATATTCGGTTATTTCAACACATTCGGATATATTTTATATAAATTTAGGTGTGACTCTGGAACGTTCTGAAGTCGGTCTCGTGGGTAACAATGAATGTAAGTTCTTTCGCTTTGATATATATTGTCTGGAATAGTTTACCATTATTTATGTTTCTTTCTAGTGCGTTTAACTTCATACGCCAATCACAAGCATTTATTTGGTTCGTTGAAATTGCCTTTCAGCAAACAAAAGACTTTGCGTACATCCACAAGGCCACCGTTAGGCGAAAACAACATTCGCGGAAACACAGCTAACTCTAACCAAGAACCACCCGCTAAAACTCGAGCCATGTCCTCGGACAGTAGTTATAATTCCTCATCCAGCTATCGCTCCCACAACTCGTCGTCATATTATCAGCAAACATCAAGGGTATCAACAACATCGGCCTCTTATTGCCCAAAACCATATTCGACTGGAAGTAATTCCTTTAACAACATAAGCGGCAGTTCCTCCATTTACTCAACTGCTTCGCAGAATTCCCACATAATGAATACTTCCGTTTCCAATATATCCAGCAACAAGGAGAATTCGTTCAACTCTTCATTTATGTTCAACAACTCATTTAATACATCCTCCAATACATCTGGATCGTACTGTGACCTTAATGCAAGCATGAATAGTCTGGTCAATCCAATGGGTTGTCTACCACAACCACCGCCACCCTTGCACATTGCAAATTCTATGCATTTAAATGCACCAGTACCCTCGGTGTATCCTACTTCTAAGCTGTGGGATCGTCGACAAGGAAATAACTATTACCAGCAGCAACAGCAGCCTCTTTTGAATAACAGCAATTTAAGTGGAACGGTTTTGACTCCACTGATAATGCCGCCACCACAGCCAACACAAAATCTAACAATGCCAAATCAAAATGCTATCGGCCCAGTAACGGCAGAAGCCTCAGCAGGTCTATATGAGCTGGTAAACAATATACAAATGTGTCCCATTTTATATGAGCCGCCAAAACCAGATACCCCTCCATCAGAGGTAATGAAGTTGTTAACAAAAATAAAGAAATTTCTCGTTTTATGTGTGTGCCATTTTTTTTTTTTCTTTTAGAACATGCCTTTTTGGATTGATCCTATTTGGACAAATAACAATAGCAACGAAAAAACTAAAGATGATTTGGTAAGTTCATCAGTTCAGTGAGAACTCGCAACCCAAAATTGTCTTAATTTGAAAAATTTATTTTCCATATTTCCTTCAGCTCAATATACGTCTACCGGAACTTAAAGCTCTAAACGTTTTGCCTATGTTATTATCGCCATACAGCCTATCGAAAACCGAAAACATGAAACAAGTTTTCAACTTCGATTCTCATGATAGAAAAATTGCCTAATTTATTTACATTTACTATTTCAAACATAATTTAATATAATAGTTAATTTATCGTGCCAATGCTCAAATCATTACTTAGATTAAATACTATTTTCAATTAAGATATATATATTCAAATCGAACATAATACATACATATATAATTTGTAAGGCTTGATGCCATTTTATTTGTAAAAATGTTTTTGTGGCAGCCAAATTTATTCGAGTGAAAAGGAACCACAAACCTCTGCGAAATAATTTTGTTAACTGTAAAACAAAAATAAAACTTAAACACCTTTCAATGTTCCTTGCGAATGCCACTAGAAAAACATTGTTAACTTAATCTAATAAACAATTCTATTGTAATAATTGTAGCATATATATATTTATCAAAAAAAAAAACATTGTTTTAATCAACACACAATAAATTCCATAATATTGTCAATTATTTAATTTTGTAAACCATTTTGCTCTAAATCAATTATGAAAATTATGCTGTTTTATTTTAAATTGGTAATATTAAGAAAATGTTGTTAAAATTCCTTAAAATAAAAATGCATGCCTTTAATAAAACATGTTAAACTAAATTCATGTATAATTTCTTAATTGCAAGAATTGAATTTATTATTTATTTCAAATTTATGATGCCTAGTCTTTCGACTTTAAGGCAGTAAACTGCATTAAAATGTTAAGAAAGACATTTTAATAACAATTATAGTGACATAAGTGTAGGTTTGGTTGTGCTTGATTAACTACTCAAAATAATAATTACTATGTATTATTATACAAGTAAAATTATAAATGGAAATTATGTAACAAAAAATATCATTAAAATTAATTAAAATATTAAAATTACTCAAAAAGGGATAATAAACTGCTCAAACAATATTTATAATATATATATATATATATATATTTAAAAATATTATTTATACTATTTGGATTTGTTAGTACCCAAATTAATAATAATAGAACTAAAATTAATGTAAAAGGGAGGGATTGAATCTACTCAAACTTCTTAAATATTAACATTAATTGGGCAATACAATTTATATAAATTCGAAGGGTCGGAACTACTTAGCTTTCTTAACATATTTATTGTTAATTGAGAATATTAATAAATTAGGGATCGATACTACTCAAATGTTTTAAAATAATGTTTAAAAATCAAGCATTTGAAAGAAAGTAATAGTGGAAGATATTTTTCAACTTCTTTGAATTAGGCCCAACTAAACTAAGTACATCTTTTAAAAATGAGCTGTTTTCATTAACTCATTGTGTTTTGTTTTCCTTACTTCCTCATCGTATTATGGAAACTGTCTCGTGAACCAAGGCGGAATACGTCGTGTAAGTATGCTTCTAATATTTAATTTATAGGATTTTAGACGTAAATAAATCCTCAACCCCATTTATATTGTTAACAATTGCAACTGAAAGAATTAATAATGAATTCACCTATATTTAAAATACCGCTCAGGAAATACTAAAACAATATATTTTTTTAAATAAAATATGAAGACATTTTTTTCATAAAATATTTTTTATTAACAATTTAAAAAACATGTTCTTCAAGAACTGGCGTTGATATCTATTAATGACATTCTCACAAGAATATAATCTCAAATACTAAACTGAAAATCAAATTAACAGCATTTGTATTCTGATAAAAACAAAAATAATTAAAAGTTGGGGAAGAATTTATCAAAGAATTTATTCGCTAATTCAATGCCAAAGAAGCAAGCGGCATTGGCAGGGAAGGCACGGATCATAATTGGTGTAATACCACGATATAAGGCAAGTGGACCATCCTTAACCATCAATTCCTTAAATACACTACGAATACCGCTCTTATACGTACCCTCGGGAGCTAGAATTTTAAAATGCGTTAATATTTAAATCTTAACACCTTCTTATGTGATATTTTGTCCTTACCAGTTTGCAAACGACTCTTTAGTACATCGGCTGGCATACCAACCAACCAGTAGGCAATACCGGCCGAACCGCCAGCAAATAAGGTGACAGCTAGTGACACCTGGTCACTACCAGATTGTTTTTTAGAATAATTTTGTATGGCCTCATAGGCTAAGAAATAGACGCCATTGGCAGGCAAATCTAAGAAACAAAAAAAAACAAATGTACAATTTTAATTCGTAACGCAATATCTTCATGGAAAACGCGATGCAAAATGATAAAGCAAAATAAATGTATGTTGTATTTCATTAATTTTAAATGAGGTAATGCTGGTGTTATCATTAGCGAATTATGTATGTACGAGAATTTCGAATAAAATAGTATTAAATTTTTGAGCAATATTAATATCGTAAACACGGAGGAGTAATTATTAATCGAAGACATAAATTATTTTTAACATGAAAATGCCTAACCCGATTAACCTAAATTATAATATTGGAATATTTGCAACACCAACCAACTAAACTTTAAAAGGTCAATATTTTTTCAGATTTCTTAACATTTTGATTGTGACAGATCTTTATGTGGTTGCCAAATACTTCACATGTCTATAACTAATGCCAAATATAGATGTTTAACCCAAAAATTATTTAATCATTAGCATAGTATTTCTGCATTGTTGTATAAATAAAATGGAATTACTTCATACTATTAATTTATCACACACTACAAACTGAGTACATGGCATTTTGACATACAGACGTTCGACTTGTAATTGTGTACAAATATTTCATACAAAACAACAACACTCACTAATACATGCATAGAATAACTACTGATAACAACATCCTTTACGTCGTGACTTCCTTCATATACACCACCACCCAAGAATACAATATTTCTTTTAATCTTGTGATGAAGTCGGCTCTATAGTGAGATTCTGTTTTTTGTTTTTATTTTATACAGAATTAATATGCTATTGTACAAAAACATATTTAGTTGTATATCGACTTTCCAGCGCGCCACTTTAAAGCGAAGCCAATCGAGAAAAGTATATACTGACGGGCGTTACAAGAACATGCGATAAATATATATTTTTCAATTTCAACTCATGAAAAAAATCGGATAAGTCGTTGTTGAAACTCATCAAAATTAAATTAGTGCAAAAATGAAGGTGTTAATCATGTTAAGTGTTATGTTATTGGTTGTGAGTACACTAAAATGTGAAATATTTCGAATAAGTGAGATGATTACATACAGGTCCTTGTATTTTAAAATATATATGTTACTCAATTAAGAAATAATAACAATAATTAAATCGATTGATTCAATACTAAACTACTTTATATCTCAAATAGGAAACATCACTATCTTATAATCGTGACGGTGAATTCGGAAAATATCGTCATAAAACAAATTCAAAGTACAAATCCAACAAATTTGCTCCACCACTGATTAATGAAGACGGCGACGAAGAAAATATTAAATATCGACATGAGGTTAATTTTAATGACGGTGGCGACGACGGCATGGAATTGTTTTACAATAAACCGGAAGAGGAAATAACATCGGATTTAACACCAACAATAGAAGTTGATACGTTTAATTGTCCACAGGGTTGTGTGTGTCAGTACGCACACTTAATGGATTTGCCTATATCGCGCTGGATAAACCACATGCAACAAAGGTATTTGAATCCGACAGAAAACGAAAACAATGAAAATTTAATTAATGGCAATGAATCGTCCTATGAGGGTGACCTGAGCTACACAATGAATCCTTTTATCAAACAAGCCACATGCATCATGCAAGAAGACACAGATGCAGAGAAACTTATAAATGCTTTGCCCCATGATATGCAAGCTTTAGTTTTGCTATACACCGGTGTGGGGAGAAACAAGACGGGTAAAAACAGACACATCCATAAAAATAACCGCCCAACGTCATAACATATTCTTTCTTTCGTTTTTAGTCAATACCAGCATTTTAAAACCTTTAAATCATCTAACAACATTGGAAGTAAGAGGATCGCAGGACCGTGGCTTACGTTTGGTCTTAGATGCATCACTGCCATTTTTAAAACATGCTAATTTTGAATCCATTACATTGATGGGATCGGAGATTGTTAAGAGGCCCACAGATGTCAAGCATCCCAAGGAGATGTTCAACTACAAGCCTAACATCGAGTTGCTAAATAGCATGGAATTCACTGAAGAAGATTACTATACCAAACATTATGATCGCAAACTACTAGTTGAACTCCAACAACAAGAACAGGAGGAACTGCAAATCGTGCCATATGAAGTGTACATAGAAGAAGTTAAGAAGGCAAAAATGCCTTCATTCTATGGCTGGGAACGATTAGAAGTTTTGCGAATTCAATCGTGTGGCATGAACGAACTATCTTGGGAAATATTTATGGGTTTAGATGAACTGCAACATCTGTCTCTAGAAAACAACGATATACAAGTGGTGCCACCATTTGCCTTATCGGGCGCCACACAACTGAGAACCTTATCGCTAGCTCACAATGCTATACACGACTTACATTATCGAAATTTGGCCGGCTTATTTGAGTTACAAGTATTGGATATTAGCGATAACCGTTTAACAAAACTAACGGAATTAAGCTTTCCTCCCTTACCGAAACTGGAACGAATTGATTTTCGCAAAAATCCCATACGTTACATATTTCCTGCCACGTTTTGGGTCATGAATAACACCCAAGAGATGTATTTTGGTTCTGATGAAACAGCCCTCGAATTATGGGGTAATCAGCCCTTCAAAAAGCTCACTCAACTTACTACACTAGAGATAAACAATGTATCCATAAACAATTTAGAGCAAAATATTTTCAAGGTAACATGTGTACACATGCCACAGCAAATTGAAATCGTTTTCTTCATATTTTATTTTGATTTTAGGATTTAGTATCATTACGGAAGCTCAAACTACGGGGTGAAATAAACACACTGGAATTCGATGCCTTTTCCGGAATTTCTCAATTGGAAGCACTTGACTTGGCCAATTGTCAAATCAACGAGATTTCTATGGATGCTTTTGTTGGATGTAAACGATTGCGGTTAGTTAATCTCTCCCATAACAACATCAGTTACATACCCCCGGGACTATTTGATGATCAAACTAATCTGGAGGAGGTATATTTAGACAACAATCAATTAAGAACGCTACCCAGAAACTTCTTCCAAATGAAACGGCTAATGGTGGCACGTTTATCTGAAAATCCCTGGAAATGTTCATGTGACATGAGTAATTGGAAAGCCAAAATAACCAACCAAGAAAAAACACCACAAACCGAGAGATGTATCAACGACTACTTCTCTGGCAAAAAATTATCCTGCCGGAAATTCAAAAGTTATAAATTCAACAAACAACTGGCACCTCGATGCGACAATTTCAATGGCCGTAGTGTCTACTACGTACTGAGAAAACAGTTACAATGCGGCGCAAAATATATTCAGTTAATGAAACCTGTTACTCATAATAACAGATTACCTCATTGGAGAAAACTGGAAGAAAGAGGTCATAGCCGAAACAATGAGGGGCCTTCCAAAGACCAAAATAGTCCACTTATAAATCGTATGATGTGGCAGTTGCAAAAACAAGAAAAAATACAGATGTCATTGAGAAACTTGCGAGAAAACTCATTGGAACATCAGCTGAAAACAAAATTAAATGAAAATCCAAAAATGTCCATGCCCAATGATGTTGATGAGGAGATACCAAATGAAATATGAGTCACATAAGTGATTTATTTATAAATACGTATTGAAATGTAAATGAAATGCAAATGATTTTAGAGTGAATACTACTTAGGTTAAAACAAATAACATATTGAATTTATTTTAAACTGTTATTAATTAAAAAAAACAAGTGTACAAAAACTAAATAAAAATTACAACTTTAACAGATATTGAAATTATTTTATACTTTATTAATATAAAATATTTCTTAATAAATCCTATCAGCAATTTATTGCCGAATGACATATAATAACAAACTGCTCGTTTAAATTCCAACTAAAGAATAAACTTTTAGGCACGATATGAGACAATGGCTTCGGAAGATATGAGAGATTTGCATACACTGTAATGTTCTCTTAGTCTAGCATAATGTTCTTCTATTCTCACATGATGCGCCCGCCGATAATTGTTATTAAAAAATAATAATAGCTCACAAATATATTCTTTGAAGTAGAAAAACTCCCTACCGATCAATGCTCTTAAGTGAAAAATAAACTCTGAAGCTATATGCAATATGTGGTATAATACAATATCTGAATGTTTTGAGGAAGTGATCTACTGAAATATAATAAATAATTTGCTGTGGCCATATTGATAAAATGAGAAAATATATTGATGTACCAATTATTGAATCGTTCCACATTTACGTCTCTGTAACTGTTTGAAGAAAATGTATTTTCTCTATTTTATTAAATTTATTATTCTCCACATTTGGGTATTTAGAAATAACTGGAAAAGCCTAACACGTCGTAACTCTTCTCAAAAGTTTTGCAATAATTTACCTATTTTGAACTTAGCTCCACTACCTATTTACAATTTTATATAGTAAATTCGCTAAAGAATTATTAGTTTGTGTGAGATGATTTGCCTACAGGGTCAGAATTTACGTTTATGCAATAATTATGAACTAACAGCTATTACATATTATTGCATATTGGATGAGTATAATAATCAATATATCTTACCTCTTAATAATGTAGCACAACTGCCCTTGTAGATTGACCGTATACCACCTTCCTTATATAGCTTTCCAGCACAGTCAAGCATACCGTTGTATTTACGTTCAGCTCCCGAAGAGGCTTGTTGGATTTGCAACAAACATTTTATGCGCTCACCAGGAGCAGTAATAATAGTTGAAAGTAAACCGGAGAATGATCCAGCTACAAATATTTGTCTATAATTAAGTTTAGTGTTTCCCTCAGTCTGTTGAACACGTTTGCCAAGCGCATAACCGGCGAAACAGAGGGCGAAAATAGGTGCAACTCCTACTATAGGAGCGGACATGCCTTTATATAAGCCCAAAAAACCTTCGTTTTTGATGGTTTTGGCAGCACAATCGAATGTACCTTTGTATAAAGGAGCTTCGCCGGGACCAGTGCGAGGCATTGTTTGTAAGCGTACCTAGGAATGTTTAACAGTTTATATTATACAACGAAGTGTATTTATCATAAACAAAAATACCTTAATTGTATCCAGAGGGTGGCCAGATATAACCGTACAAATACCGCCAAAACCTCCGCTCAAAAAGGATTTGGCAGGGTTTGCTTTTTTCTCCGAGGAATTTGAATCAGACATTCTGCTTTAGACTAAAATACAAATGATTGGCCTGTAAGAAAAAGAACAAACATATGTATTAAAGCCAATGAACTTTGCTCGATGGTTAAGTGTTTGAGGTTTGCGATAATCAAAATAATCTCACAAAAGATTAGTGGTAATTGTAACAATAATGCTTTCATTTTCTAAACTTCTTGTTGGTTACAAATTAGTAGTTCCTTTGGTGTAAGGAACATTAGCATAAACAGCATCTTCAACCGTTTCGAGCATCATACATCAAATTAATTCCAAGCACAAAATATAGTTCGCCTACAAACCGAAATATCGATTAGTCTCATTATAGACGTATCCACAGAGATCACGATAGGGCATTGTCACAGGTTTTAATTACTTTCATAGATTTCAAACTCATCAATTAATGTTGGGTGCGACGTAAACGGGTTACTTTTGCATAGATCTCAATCAAACAAAGCAAATGAAAAGGAAAGTGAAACGTCATCGAAAACCAACCAAACGTACAAACCGGTTGATATTAGATGAAGTAACGAAAATAAAGATGATATTTAATAAATTTGATCATCTATATTGTTTATAACTGGATCTCGTATCTCTATAACTAGAACTACAATTAAAACCAAACGATAGAGCAAAGTTCAAACACTCACCGCCACCGAAACCACCAATTCCGAAAAAACTGAATTGAATAAGTTTTTTTTTTTGTGTTGTTGTTTGATCAAACGTCAATTAGACACACAGCTGATGATAAGAGTACAGGGTTGCCAATATGAACCCCAAAATAGAATCCCTCACAAGCATGGCAATAGTGGTAGAACTGGAGAAATCCATGTCAAAATTCCCGTATGTTTTTTTCGTAAAATAATCTTTACGAAGTTGATTTTTTTTATAATTCGTTTGTAAATTTGCAAAAGTATGTAAAGTTTTGCATGGGGAACATACATCAATTGCTTATGTTTCGAGCTCGTTATTCTCCTTCTATTCATTGCAAGTAGAACGTTTTTAAGTTTGGTTGGTTTAAGGCGCGCAGAAGAGGATTCAGATACTATTGTCTAGGCTTCGTGTCAATCTACTACTTTTTGTTTTTATTCGAAATGGCTTTAAATATTGGCGATCAATTCCCTAATTTCCAGGCTGAAACTAGCCAAGGCAAAATAGACTTCTATGAATGGATGGAAGAATCGTAAGTAGTAGTCAAATATGTTTACGTTCCATTGCAGCTCGGGTAGAATGAAATCTTCTAAAAAGGGATATTCATTGGATGGTATCCACACAATGTTTAAGCAACGACGGGAATGTTATGCTAATAATTATAGATAAACATATTTTGCATTTTTGCGTCTTTTAGTTGGGCCATTTTGTTCTCGCATCCTGCCGATTATACCCCAGTTTGCACAACTGAATTAGCACGTGTCGAACAGCTATTGCCGGAATTTAAGAAACGCAACGTTAAACCAATTGCACTGTCAGTTGATACCGTTGATTCGCACAATGGATGGATCGAGGATATTAAAGCATATGGAAGTAAGTTCTTCAAAAAGCATAATTTGATATTAGCTTTTATAAAAATTTTATTATTATTAGATCTTTCGTCCTTTGACTATCCTATAATTGCGGATGATAAAAGAGAATTAGCAACACAATTGAATATGCTGGATAAAGATGAACTGAATAAGGATGGAATACCGTTAACATGCCGTGCTGTTTTTATTGTAGACAATAACAAGAAACTGCGTTTGTCTCTTTTGTACCCGGCCACTACTGGAAGGAATTTCGAGTAAGATATATTTACTTTTTGAACTATTGAATAGTCAACAAATCAATTATTATTTCTAGTGAAATTCTGAGGGTAATTGACTCTTTAAAACTGACTTCTACTAAATCAGTTGCCACTCCTGCTGATTGGAAGGTTAGTATGATTCATAAATATGTAAAATAAATAATTTGTAGTAGTTTTTGATATTATCACATTAAATTTTATTTGTAGTAGTTTCTGATACCATCACATAAAATTTCATTTCAATTTCAGCAAGGTGGCACTTGTATGATTTTACCAACCATTTCGGAGCAAGAAGCTTTAGATAAATTCCCCAATGGATATACTACACGTGATGTGCCCTCGGGTAAGAAATATATTCGCGAAACAGCACAACCATGAATGAAATTACTCAGCATTCCAATGAATTGATTGTAATTGTATATTTTTTATATAAAAAAGTAAAGTAGAAAGCATATAAAATTGTCAAGTTATTTTAGTGTTTGCGCAGGGTACGCAGGTTTGTAACAACATAAATATAAATATTTGTATCTATTTTTTCAGCTCAATATTGTGGAATGAATAATTTTTTACTTAACCAAATAACACAAAAACCGATAAAAAATTAAAAATAAAAAGGTACACTAAATTGCACAATAAAATGTCAGTATACTATTTAAACAATTTTGCTATTACTCAAAATATCCAAATAGTGATAAGTCGCCTGACTTTGCTAATGGAAATACCCGAAGCGAAGCATTGAAATGTTACAACTAATATATTCAACACCATTATACACCTTAACCGAAAATATTTATATATTAGGTATCTAGGCTCTATTTTCGTTTGGGTTTTGCCAACATATTGCCCAGTCTTCTTGCAATAAATGGCCATAATATTAGTAAAATAAACCATACTGGCGATATGTCATCCAGTGGCCACCAGTTGGGGTATTTTCGTTTGTGCTCCATGGTGTTTTTCGACGCTGCATTTCTCAGTGTAGTGTTGGAAACAGCTAGTTTAAGATCCCTAACTGTTTTCTCTAAGTCGTATATACGTTGATTCACAGATGAAATATCCAGATTCATTCTCGTTACAGTGTCCTGCACCTGTTTCAAGATGTGATTATTCTGTTGTAATGATTCATTCAGTTCATGTTGTATATCAAATGGATCAACATATTCTTCATCGTCTGACTGATCAACATTTCCGTTCGTGGGAGCATATATATTGTACGTTTCTGGGGCCGCCATTGGTGTCGCATTTGGCAGAACTGTTGTTGGATTTTCCAATTCGACATCTTCAGTTGATGATGCATGTCCATTTGTAAGTGGCTACAAATGAATCAAACATTATTATATGAGTTAAAAGTGAAATTAGTACAACTACCTCCTCATCAATAATAATGTTACTACTGGCTCCATGTTGCGGACTATTTGTTCGGGAGTTAAATGGAGAATTAGGATGCGATTCGGCAAGCTTTTTCATTCCAGGTGCTATCATTTCTAGCTCATCTAGATTTATATTCTCTAGACCTTGTAAACTTCCAACAAAATTTTGAACATTTTCGGTGAACGACATGGTTTCTATAATCTCTTGAAGGCCTTCAACATATTTCTGCATTGCTTGTTCTTTTGTTAAATGCCTGTTTGAATTCCAAGCATCGTACTTAGCTTTACCAACTACATCCCAAAAGGCAGGCCTTTTCGATGTGCATGGACCTTCTGTCGCCTGTTCAATAGTACGGAAATATATGAGAATGAGAAATATACTTAGTATGTTACAATCGTTACCTGTTTGAAGAGGCCATAAAATTTAAGCATCATCACCGTACTGGGCTGATAAGGACCATTTTTTGGCAAATTCTTGATGACATTGACAGCCGCCTGGAACTTTTCTTGCACAGATGCCATAGCTAACTACAAAGCTGGAGGGAATAAATAACCAATTATTTATTATTCTAAATATATTATGCGATTAGATTATCGATACAAGGGGTCGCAAAGTGTTACTGATAAACGAATAAAAGGCAAATTACGAGGGTTTAAGGTTCACATTTAATCGTTGCACTTGTTTCGTAGATGTTGTTGTTTTTATGGGTGTATGATCGCACTCAAGGTACAATTGTTTGTTACAACATCCAACATCTGCTTACAAAACATTCAAGGTTCTGCCTTAGTATACCACAAACGAACCTTTCTTTTTATAATATATGCAATATATTAATGATCTTATTCTATTTAATAACAGTAAACGGGCTTTTGAGTAGAAAAAACTGGATCGAACTTTAATCGCTTAAATATTTTTTAGCTTATATACGAGAGAGCGACTACGTTTATTTGAAAAACGTTCCACTTGCAAACACGAATGGGGGAGAAGACAAAATGGCCGATAAAGAAGAACTCAAAGTAGCTTAACGAAATATTTACGAATGAGGTGGAATGGAGACTGCACTCAGTTTTAATGTTGGTTTGGTATCCAGAGTACTCGTACAATATAACCGATTATTTATAGAGGTGTTAAAAAAGAGAGTTTTCACAAGTAGTCGGTTTTATATATTGAATGTTTTTTCTAATAACAAATTGTTTTAATGCGGGTTTAGTTTATAAATTGACTCAATTTAAATAATAATTTGAATATGTCTTTTTATAAAAATATACTGATTGTAGGGTACACCTCTAAGCCCCGAATTATTCTCAGATCATTACAACTACAATAACAATTTGACGGCTTAAGCCCATTAAGAGATACAGTACATTATTTCTGAAAAAAGTAGTCCAATATCTCTGATTATGAATGACACTTATCAAATGAATAAATCTAAACAATTCAAATTTTGATCAATATATTGCTGAGTGCAATCATGTGTACAGTACTAATTTGTATATACTGTCCAAATTATTTAAATCGCTTCGTATTCGAAATGTACAAATGGCACACTCAAAATTATGATATGATTCTTGTAAAAAAGAACTAAAGAATAATATAAAGTGATTTTTCGCTGATAATGCATTTGTTTTTTCATGATGATATTTTATTTTTTAGAAAGAAGGAACTGTATCTCCCGAATGCAAAGCTGTAGTGAAAATTTGTTTATATCCTATTTAGGGTAGTTGCATTAAAAAAATACTTATATTGTTTGGAAAAAAATCGGGGCTCAAAGGGTTCATATAAAAAAGAAAGTCAACAATATTTTCAACGTTTTCAATATTCACTTTATAAAGAAATTCAACAATTTTTTTCAATTTTCATTTTATAAATTTGAACTTTGTTTAAAATACATTTTTAAAGTAAAAAATCCAAAGAATTTTAATATACAATAGATTTATTGAGGTTCTGGAACGTTGCATGGCCTATAAATAAGGTGATCCAAGTAGCATGCGAAATCGGAAAACAGCTGTTTTTTCTCAAGTCTAATGTCAAAAATGTCGACTATGTTTACGTTTTCATATAATATTCAAAATAATGCGTTTTGACAGCAAACTTGAGTGGCGCAGATATCCAGCTGGTCTCCCTAAGCGACCTTATTTATAGGCCATGGAACGTAGCATTTATAAAAGTTGATTGTTTTTAGAAAAACTCGATAATTATATAGCGAATTGTTCATCGATAATACGATAAGCCTCAAATCTATTTTACATCCCTCGTTTTGCAGTTCTACCCAATGTAACCGCATCAGCAATCGATTACAAAAACTGTTGCAGAACAATGATATGTCAAAAATATTTTGAAAAATATGAACCAATTTATAGATTTTTTTTACACAAATTCACTTAGTACATGTTAATGCATGCTTTGTTGTATATGCTCTTTAAAATTCACAGATATTTCATTTATAATTTTGTTTTTATTTCTATTTTGTGTTAAATTACACCACCATTTTTGACAGCAAATTGTACCAACAGCTGTGCTGATGCGGTTACCGTATTAACTCTACCTTGGCAGCTCTACCTGCTGCCGAAGAAAAAAGCTTACTTGTGATTATTTCACAAATCTTAACTCAGCACCTCCGAGTGTAGCACCAGATTTAATTAACAATTTCATAAAATTGTTACTGCTAATTCTATCACACATTGTTGTGAAATAGTGTGAATAGAAGTGTAAAGTGTCAAAACACTACGAGTTGCGATTAGCATTTTTTTCTTTTGTTCGCAATCGATTTTGACCAAATGAGTAATTTTCATTTGGCTTTTTCGCTTTAATGTGCTTGTAAAAGTTTTCACATCAGAAATATACCTAACGAAAAAAGAGACAGCAAGAGAAAGAAAGAAGAAACAAAAGTCCAAAATATTATTTTGTTGCAATTAATCATGAAATTTGCTTCAACGACAACAATACTCGATATTAATACAACAATAAGCGAAATTACTTTGTCGAGTTTGCAAGAATTCTTTAACATAAAAAGGAGCAGCAGCAACAAAATCGAGTCACAACACTACAAACTGTGTTTGCAAAGACCCTCACCCTCCAACAGAACTGGTGTAGTTTTTAAAAGAAATAAAAAGCAAAAACAACAGCAACATTTGAATAGAAATTTTTCAACAATAAAAAATTGGAAAAATCAAAACTTTTGCAATTCTGCGTCTTGATTTTAAATCGGCGGATCAGTAGTGAATAAAAACGGAATAAATTTGTGTGTAAAAAAAAATTAAGTGCTGAAAACCAAAGTGAACTTTTAATTGGCAATCCTCCACCACATCCGAAACAACAGAAACAAAGAACGAAGAAAAAAAAAACACATCCTACGACAAGATACCACAAAGCGAGTAGACAATTGAAGAAACCTCGTGCTATTGCTGTCACTTGTTTGTTTTTTTTTTTGTGTTTGAGTCGACCAACCTTTGCGAAAAAGCGCGCGCGTCTTCCTGCTTCCTTGGCAGTGGAATAAATTGTTCTTTTGTGTGCATAACTTATTGAGTTTCGCATAAGTGTCTGCTTTGAAAAGGAGTTTTCGTGTAAATCGATTGAAAAAAAAAAAAAAACAAAAACCTTAAGAACGGGTAGTGCCACAGAAACGTCGTCTATACGTCTAGGAACTAGAATCATTACATCCTCCGCTACGGCATCTCTATATTCCGTTAAAATTTCAAGAAACCAAGAGAAATCTAAAAACAAACACAAATCAGCTAACAACATGCCACGACGTAATAAGAAAGGAGGCAAAGGTAAGTGAGCGAATAAAAGAGAGCATATAAAATAAATTGCAAAAATTATATATATTTATATATACATATATAAATGAGATATGTGTATACATATACATATATGTATATCACTAATCGGTTCCGCGATCTTTTAGAAGAGTGATAAATATTTTAAATTGCATTTACCTTTCATGTTTGGCTGCTATATAGGTATATAATGTGATTGCATCATTCATTTGTGATATTAAATATTTTGTGTATTATTTTCCCAATTTTTCACCTTGTTTTTGTTGTGGCAAAATGTCATTGAAATGTCTACTACTAACAAAATTACAAAATATGTACCTAATCTTGTAAAAGTAATGAATGACCATGAGTATGATAAGGAAATAACACAAACATGTTATTTTTACACTAGTACTAAAAAGTATGCAGCTAAATTGTATATTCGCAACTTATTGTGAAAATAATTATTCCGTATAAATAAAAGCTTTTAACATTGTTTTAAATAAATAGCTTATCAGTATTTGTACGGCATAAAAGTTTAGCTTTATTTATTTTTTTCTTTATTTACTTTGTAATTTAAGCCAAAATACAATTTAATGGCCAATTTATATATAATTACAAAGAATCCACCTTATTTAAAACATGTTTAAATCTGCATTACATCATGACTACTCAAATATCATAACCACAATTTAAACAAGTTATTATAAATAAATTATGTTAAGACTTTTAAAATATTTTGAATGTAATTATGCGAATGCTTTTTAAAAATTTCGTGACATCATGGCTACCCATCGCGATTTTCTAACGATATGTCCACATACTTCTGAATTTCACTGTTCGTTTGCTCATTTAGAGGTTTCGATCTACATTAGAAATACATTCGGTTCGTATATCTATATATATATACACACATAGCTTATGCCTATTAACGTAATAATGTTTGTTGCTTTCAAGGTTTTAAATTGTAAATGATTTTTGTGTTTATGCTGATAAACGTGTTTCTTGTAACAGCTGGAAAATCCCAACAACACACATGACAAATCAATCTTTCAAGTATTGTTGTCTGCTATCGCTGAACCATTCTAATTTAATTTTCAAAAGGATGGTTCCCATAAATAGAGCTCTTATTTTAATAAAAATACGTTTATTACAAGAGATAATTCGTCATTTTTTGAATTTGTATTTTTGTGAACACATAATTAAAACAGATGTGTGTGTTCGTTTGGTCATCCACCGATCAGACTCGTCGTTGACGACGACCTTGAAATGTCTTAAAATAAACAGTAGAATAACAAAACAAAATGTTGTGTTAAAAAACGCTCATATACACACAATGTTAGCACGGGGAACAGCTGCGAATAGATTGTACTTTCATATTCGATAGAAACAGGAATTTAGGTGACAAAGAATTAAATAAACAGTAAAAAAATAAAGCGTAAATAAAAATATACCTATACAAAAAATAATCATTTCCATAAAGTAATTATTTTAAATTAGATTCATTCAAATGCACTGAATACTCATTTAACGTTTGATACTTTTTTCTGTTACAGGTCGCCAAGGCGATTCCAACTCTGAAGATGAATCATTCAATGAAAATGCCTCTGTGTATTCATACATGTCTGAGAATGGTGGCGCATCGTCTGTCAACGATTCGGATGAATTGTCTTCAAATGAACGTTATGAGGAGAAATTCATGCAGGCTTTAGAAAATGCCACTGAGAAATCGGCACAAACTCGTGTACTGGCATTGCAAAGTATCTGCGAAATATTGATGCATCGTTATATGCCCGATTTTGTTGACGATCGCAAAGTAACCCTTATCGATTGCATTGAAAAGAGCATTCGTCGTGGAAAGGGTCTGGAGCAAGTATGGGGTGCTAGATTGGCACCATTGTTGGTACTGCAATTGGGCGGCGATGAAGGCATATCTAAAGCTCTCAATCAATTTTTGCTCACCACAGTTCAAGACAAGTCAGTGTCATTTGATGCACGGGCAAAATGTTGTACTGCCTTGGGCCTTTTGAATTTCTTTGGTGGTGATGATATAGGTGATATGGTAACATTGATGCAGTGCTTTGAATCCATATTTTGTGCTAGTTATTTGAAAGGTGATGACAAAACTCCGATCACAGTTAGCCCCGAAGCCGGTGCCTTACATGCTGAAGCATTGTCAGCCTGGGGCTTATTGTTGACAATGATCCCATCAGGAGACTTTGTATCATGGATGACTGGCGGACAATCAATGCTACCGTAAGTTAAAAATTATAAAAAAAAACATCTCTAAATTTTAAATAATTATTGTTTATCATAAATGCTGCAGATCTTTCAAGAAGTTGATGGGCCTATTGCAATCACCTCATTTGGATGTACGCATGGCAGCTGGTGAAACCCTGGCCTTGATATTGGAGTGTGGCCGTTCACACGATGAAGATTTTTTGGAAGAGTACTTAAGTGATTTAATTGATGCAGTTAAACAGTTGGCCACAGATTCCCATAAATACAGAGCAAAACGTGATCGTAAAGCCCAGAGAGCAACATTTAGAGATGTGCTACGTTATCTGGAGGTAAGATCAACAATATTTTATTTAGCTTTCATTTTATTTACTTACATTCTCTAAACATTCAAAATGAATTTTACATATTTTGTGTACAAGTGTGAACAAGTTGATGTCGGCAATGTTTGCCACTGCATTTGCGATGATCGTGTAAATTATTTTTCATAATAACACATCCGATTTTATTGATGGTATCCATGTATTCGGTAAAATTTGCATTTTTCTTAAAAACTTCTCCACTTCGCCAGTGGGAGTTGTTACCAGAATTAATGAAACGATTAGAATCGGCAAATGAAATTTTAAACGGTTTATATGCCTTTATACATGGATCAAAATTGCCACCTTGTTTGTTCAATTCCTCCATTACATTTCTCCTGAATTCATTGCAAGGTTCGTCTTTCTTCAACAACTTGCTGGCATTTAGTTTGCTTGTTTCATCCTCCTCCTTTAGCGATTTATATATGCCCTCTGGATATTCATTTACATTGCAAAAATCGATTTGATATGTAGTGTACATGCGCTGTTGTTCCATGCGCCTATTAAGTTCATCTTGAGGCATTTGTTGTAATCTTTCATAAAGATCCGGATATACAGTACGCAATATTTTCAAAAAACGATTTGGTTGAATTTTATTACAATCGTTTTCTCGAGCGTTGGCTATTGCATCAGCTTGATCGGGTGAGATTTTTGTGGGTATAATGCGAGGATCAATCAAGCGACCCATTGGAGCAATCCCTGTCCATTCAACTGTTCCATGACTGTCATTTATACTTTGTTCCTTATCGACGGAAGTTATATTTTCACAGTTGCATTCTGAATTGACTTGGGATTTGTTAACGTTTTCTTTCACAAAATCGTAGCGTTTGTTTTTAGGTTGTATAAAATCGTGTTTATATGTTGTCGTAAGCATTTTGCACAAAATATAAAAAATACACTAAGAATTTGTTAAACTCGAAATTTTTAAAATATACAAAATAATAACTTGACTTTATACTCCTTGCACGGTTGTTCCTTTACAATTGAAAAGTACTATGCAGTATTTTCTCATATTCAGATAATTGTTTTTTTTTCTTGTATAGGAGGATATATCTCCCGAAATAACCATTCGTTTTGGATCAGAGTCATTAGTTTTGGATTCTTGGGCTGTACATCTTCAATACTCTGCATTGTGCACAATTATGGGTCCTGGTATGACATCACAATTGCAAGAAAATGACTTTATACGTGATATTTTCGGTTTGGGAACCAAAGTTGACACAGCCAATGGTGCTACGAAACTTAAAGCCTCCAAATTGGAAAGGGTAAGTCATCTGATTTAAATACCGCAAACGACATTCTAAATATTTTATTTTTTTTATTTGTAGCACCTTGTAAATGCTGCTGCATTCAAAGCACGCACCATCAGCCGTGGCAAGAATAGAGATAAGCGTTCTGCAGTTTTTACATAAATGCGTAGACAATTTAGTTAGTACGTAGTAATATTGCAGAGAAATTATTATTGAAAATTTAACTTTATAATAATCTACTCATTTTTAAAAATTCATTAAATTCGATTACAATCTGAATTGCGATTTAAAATAATTTAAAATTTTTCCTGTTGGACTATTTGTTATTTTTTTCTTTTTAATAAAACAAAAACAAAAGAACTCTGAATTAATTTAAATAAAATATTCTAATTATAAAACGTATAGTATATAAGCATATATATATTTATGGCAAACAACAAATAACTAGAATAGAAACTAGTAAAATAATAAATACAATTGATGTATATAAAACAAACAGTCAATGAATATAAGGAAGTGTTTTAAGTATTAGTGTTTAGGTTGGGTAAATAAAAATGTTTTCAAATTTTTATTGCTCACCATATAGATTATAAGCATATTATAATAGTATAGAATGTGTACTACCAAAAATATTCAAGATCTAACAAAAATACGTGTAAATTTTGAATTATTTATCGTAGTCTAACGTATTCCTCAAAATCTTTACTGACCTATAACTGATTCGAATTACATAAAGTTTTTATTAAATAAAATATAATTTAAGTTCGTAATTAAAGATGCGAAACCTAAAAAACATTCGTTTATTTTTTTTTTTTTTGCTATATTTTATAACAAGTAAATAATAATCATCATCACTATTATAGAAATATTGGCAAATTTGAATTCTCAATTGGATGTTGAATATCATTGAACCCTATTGTTAAGAATTTGTTCATATTTTTAATGCATATTTCTTTAAATTCTGATAGAGTTTAAAGACCCAGGGGAGCAAAAGTAATGTGATGGCTGGTTTTCAGTAGCTCTTATTATGTTTGGCGTTGTCGAATATAATGCACTGTCGTACTTTTATGACAAATGGCTTTTAGGAATATAGTTACAATACAATAAATCTGTCGAAAAATAAATTTCTTATTATGTTTGGCGTTGTCGAATATAATGCACTGTCGTACTTTTATGACAAATGGCTTTTAGGAATATAGTTACAATACAATAAATCTGTCGAAAAATAAATTTCTAAATTTGTTTTGAGGTAAATTTTACACAATACAGACCAAAAACGACAAAGTCTACGAGAACACGGTGTAAAACGACAACGTTGTCTTTTGGCTGAGGCGGCTGTGTAGTTATTTATTTATTTTTTGAAAAAAATTACTTTTTTGGTTTATAAAGGTTTTATGTCAGTTAGGTCCTTTTGACATGATATTTTCTGAAATAAAAGGACGTAACTACAATACAATTGTGGTACAACAAAGTGACTAATAATTATCCGATTGAGACTAAAATTTGTACAGCTTACCAAATTGAGTCCGTGCGTTAAGTTTTGTTTAAATCGGTTCAGATTTAGACTTGCTTCCACATATATTTTCATCCGATTTTGTGTAAATGGTGCATTAAAACTTCTATATATCTTTCGATTTGCACGAAATTTTACATAGCGTACTGAACTGAGTCTAGGGTGATGTGTGTTAAGTTTCGTGAAAATCGGTTCAGATTTCGATATAGCTCCCACATACAGTTTCTACCGATTTTATGTAAAGGTTGCACTAAAGACATTAAATATTTCTCCGATAGTGATAAAACTTTGCGCAGGGTACTTTTCCACCCAGTGGGAAACAAAAAATACGTAATTATAGCTGATTATTTAAAATTATTTAAAAATGATTTGATTCCAATGTAATACTAGTGTCAATATGAATATGACAAATTATGTTTTTAAAAATCACCCATGGTACAATTATAAAAGGTAACAGCAAATCCCAGCTGATTTGATTCTAACGTTATACTAGTGTCAATATGAATTTGACAAATTATGTTTTTAAAAATCACCCAACAGGAAAATTGGGAACGGATACAACTTTAACGGATACTTCTTTATTAAATGTGCTCCCGTATTCAATTTACTCAATCTGCCTGCTGGGAAAGTTTGAGGAAGCAAATCTTTCTTCAAGGAATAACTCGCTATTCCCAGCATTTTCATATGTGTTACACATACATATATATGGCAATGGCTGCTCAATTATAGGAAAGATGTGGAAGCGATAGAAATATAAATTTGATAGATTTTCATTCATGTTTTTCAATTTTTATTTTGAGGATTCGAAAATATTTCATTTTCAAAATAAAAATAATTTGATGATAATTTGTTTGTTTGTTTACATTTTTATGTCAAATGAGTTGACACTAGTAGAACTTACAACAACAAATTTACATGTGGTTGTTGTATCGTTTTTTTGTACAACAATACTTGCTGTTACCTTCTATTATTATACCATGAAAATCACCCAACAGGAAAATTGGGAACGCATACAATTCGAAATTGTTCTTTAATAAATGTCCTCCCTTATTCAATGTACACAATCTGCCCGCTGGGAAAGTTTGAGGAAGTAAATCTTTCTTCATGAAATAATTCGCAATTCCCAGCATTTTCATATGTGTTACAGACGAACAATTATAAAACAAAAAGTCAGTTTCGAATTTTTCTGTTGGTTCGTCCGTTTACATTTATAATGACGATATATTATTTTTACTATTCCTTACTAGAACTGATAAAAAATTCCAAACTTTTTGAGAAGAACATTTTGAAATTTGATTTGGATTTGAGTAAAGAATCCAAATTGATTAATGGAAATAGCTATTTCGTCAAAAACCTAATGGTTTTGGGTATGGTATGATCGTATCGAAAAACATTTGAAATTAAACCATGTGGATAATATGATTCTGTAGATTTTCAATGTATTTAAAAATAAATCATTCATTAAACATTAAAAAATTGGCAGTATCTAGTTTGAATGCTTTGAAAATAAGAACAATTTCTAGCTCTAACGGCGTAATTATTTGATATTGTATTTTTTCAATAAATGTTAAAAAACCAGTGACTTTTCTTATAAAAGTTTATCCCTGAATATGGTTGTCGATTTCAACCGAAGAGTTGGAATAAAATAAAAAAGTATATAAAATTCAAAATGAATATACAACATACCAACAATAAACAACAAGAAAAAAATCATATCACCATTCCGAAACGTATCGTGTTTCTGCAACTTTTCTGTATATCCAAATATCGGTACCGAACGTCGCTAGAGATCATGTTTGCTACATTGTTCTAATTTGATTGGATTGTAAATAAATTATATAAAAAAACAACATCAAATTTGTTTATATCATTAATTTTATTTTTAAATTTGTATCACAATAATTTATATTTTTTCTTATAATTAAAATTAATGGGAATTGTTTTTAATTATTTTAAATCGGATTTTGTAAATTTGTTTAATCCTACTACATTGCATTAGCGAATAATTTTACATTATCAAGGATGTTGTTACCAAAAAATGTAATAAAAGTCTTATTAAAATACATGGGCGTTCTTAAATAAATCTTAAAATAATATTCGTTTTCTGAATGACATGAACAAAATATGAGATAGGGGGGGAAACTATGACATAAAACACAAAACATAATTATATTCGCAATATTTGAAATCGTACAAAAACCAATGTATGTTCTATTATGTTCTTGCCTAATTCTAAACTCTGCGACGTAATTTTTGGGTATGGCTCTGTTTGTTATACATATGATAAGATATTTATTAAATATGTATAAAAATGAATAATTGAAAGCTTCCAAGGTTAAGTAATAATTGCATTATTTGATTTAAAATCTATATATTTATTCTTGTTAGTGATACTGATGACAATTGTGTGGCTTAAGTTGAATGCGGGTGATTTCAGAGATGATGTATGAGTTTTAACCGTTATTGATAATTATTTGGTAGTTGTTATTTTTGAGAATTTTTGTTGTTTGTATACTTTTGCAATTAGAGGAAGATTTGTTCTTTTAAGAATTTCTTTTCTTATTTCAAGCAAAAGTGCTGGATCTACGCTACATCTAAACAGAAAGAGCACATTACTCCAATTGAGCAATATTTTAGTTAAACGTGCCTCCAACTTTTGTTTTTGTATGGACTATAAAATATTAAGGTAAACATAAATATGAGAGTTATATATAAAAAATTCTTTAATTAGATGCACAATTAAAGAATCCTCCATGTAACCAAGGTGGTGATATTGTGTGTGATGTTGGAAAATACAGATGACATTCAAATTTAAAATGTATACAAAAAGACGAAGACGCAATTGAACTTATCTATGACATCCGATGTCGTCAGTCACAAAGAATATTGTTTAACCACATTTTTACGAGGACGAATTGGGGGTATCAGCCGTGCTGACATCTTCACAGATGGTGTGTAATTTTTCCATTTCGGATTTTGTGACAATATTAATGCTGCTCACTTTGGCACGTTGGTAGGCTACCACAGTATTCTCACCTAAACACTTGATGCATACATAACCGATAAGGACAGCAATGCCAACGGTCATGACACGAATCAGGGGATCAACATACATTTGTATGACAACCCAGGCCGAGGCACCTGCCACACACATTAGCGTTATTAGAATGACAGTTTTTGACCAGTGCTGTATGGTGAAGCCCTTTTCCCAATCGAGCCTAATACGGATTGAATACAACTTCTGTTTAGGAGATCAAAATATAACTTTCAAATCGTACTTACTTTTTTGTTTTCTCTATTTCATAAGGAAAGCCGCACACTTTACAAGACAATTGAGCTTCGGAAGTGCTACAGCTTTCGACTAGCCAACGTTTTAGGCATTCATGATGGACTGAGGAGACATCTCCGGTGCAACGGCAGGGCTGAATTAGTGGTTCGGGCTTATCGCTGTCATAGCATATCCAGCAATCCTTTTTGTTCAGAAATGATTGGCCTTCTTCGGGTGAAAGAGTTTTCGTTTCCGCCGACATTGTAGGTATCGACGGATCGATTTGGCGAGATATAAGTTTGCGAGGATTTAAAATCCATAATTGTTCGGGAGCCATGGAGTTCCACAAGCAACAGGGAAACCACAGAGCAACACCAATTTCGACAATGCGAAAGACTATATCATGCCAATTACGAGAATAAACTGGAACTCTACATAAGCAAGTAAAATACAATGTGTAAATAGATGACAACATTCTGCAATTCAATTTTAATACTTCTTACTTTGTTTTCCAAAAATCTCCCAAAGTTTCCGAAGTCAAAAAACCCACAATCACTATTAGCATAATGGCTTGTGATAGAAGACCCAAGCGAGACTGGTGCAGTTGGGACGCATTGACTATAGCTTCACTGGGCCCCAAAATCTTTCCCGTTTGATCGTATACAAAACCACCACGCAGTTTAAAGAACACTTCAACGCCATAAATAAGGAAGAAGACCACAACTATTAGCAGAAGGGCGGCGTAACAACCATTGAATATATGGGCATATGTCTCACGCTTCGAATTGATGAGGGACGAAAATACTTCTACACCATATAGACTGTACAGCAGGAAATTGAAGGCGATAAATCCCAGAAAGCTTTTCGATAGAAATTGTGATTTCTCCCAGCGAATATCACGCAAATGGAAAATCTGAAAATAGGAAACAATTGCTTAGTTGGTCGATTTGAACTATTATTGTCAGCTTTAACGTTCAGCGATCCCGTACAAGTTCTGTATAATGGTAATTTAAATATGATTTAACCATACCTGTTTGGCATCTTGAAATACTAACATAGTATTGTATTTGTCAATACCAAACAATAACCAAAATAAATTTGCAAAAAGAAACGATTAGATTACAAAGAAGCTGAATTTATAAAATATATATGATATATGTACATAGACAGGGTAGTTGCGCCTTAGAACAATTATCAATAATTTCAGGTGCAATAGCACTTGCAAAGGTTGATTGCCTAAATACGCAATTTGCACCTAAAATTGCATTTCCTTCTTTACTGAAAACTGAAACAATTGGAAGTACAAACACATTGACATATGACAAATTACCAGCGACATCATTGATTGCCAATAAAAATAAAAAAATCTTGAACATATTAATAACAAAAGAAACTGTGAGTACGACAGCACTTGGAGTTGTTTATCAAAGCCCCTGTGATAAAGAATTTAGGTAACTTTTCTATTGTGATAGCAGTAAAGGCGGTACTCTATGAAAAAGATATGCAACAATCAATATATCCTATCGCTACAAAGGCCAGCAGTTTATCTCAAATGGTAAATATGTTCACGATATATTATCGTTATTTTGAGAGAAAAAAACTACAAATTTTATTAACTTCTAGAACTTACCTCAGCCCACATACAAACAATTAAAGAAGCGCAGGACATCAACAGGGGATAGTATGCCGACATTAGTGTCACTGCCCACTGCGGTTGCAAATCCAACTGTAAAAAAACATACGATAGAAACAAACGACCCATTAATGGTGAAACCTTTGAAAAGTAATTGAAAGCATTTACATACCGGTGTAGTAAAATATGCACCTCTCAAAGACGCAGCCACAAAAACCATGAAATATAACATTTTTTGTGTGGTTATACGACATGCCCTTAATACCGATGGCTGTTTCAGTCGTTGATATTCCGCCACAATGCATATGAACAATTGTATAACAGAGACCAATGCCACAAAATAGAATACACCCGATATGCCGGCATAGTAGGGCAAATTGAAACCGCTACACTCATCACCCGCATAGCGTATTTCACACAAGCAGGTGCCATTTAAGCAGTCACCCCTGCCGGAACAGGTGGCCGAATTGAGATCGTCATGATTTTCGGTGAATGGTTGGGGTACACCATTGCTGGATGTACCAGCGGTAGTTTGATGCTGCAGTACGCTCGTAGAGCACCTCATTAAGTTGTGAAAACTTGGTAACATGCTATATGAGGACAATTACCTGAAAAAATAAAGGAAAAAACAAAAAATAATCAAATTTGTTTGAAAAACAAATAAATGAAATATTTAACGAGAACTGTATACGGCATGCAGCATTTTTAACTGTGACAAATATAGTAAGGGGAGATTCTTGTAGGTTTTTAAAAAGCAAATGTTTTAACAATTAAATATATATTCATTCATAGCTAGACATTTGATAATAATTAACAATTTTTCAGATGAATTTATAGAATAAGTGAAAATGGAACCATATGCTAAGTTCGTTCTCGTTTTGTCACATCTCAAATTAAGCTAGGTCTTAACGGGATAACTACACACCTTTTAAAATTGGTCTGAACGCTAACATTTTCTTAACTGACTTGAATTACTGTTCCTATTGAAGGACCCTCGACAAGATTATTGGAAATATATTTTAAAATGTTTCACTAAATTAATAAATAAATGACAAGCGCAAAAAAAAACATTTCAAACACCACCCCAATATTCGTAATTATAATTCATCGATGACTAAACTATAAAAAAAGAAGGTTCATCTACACAATGTACTGTAGAAATAAAGTACGCCATGCATGATAATTAATATTGATAAAACACTACACGCTTTACAATATTCTCAATTTCATTCTTTATATAGTAGCACACACACGTACTCTCTTAAAGTTGTATGTATATATGTGCAGGCAGGCAAATGATTGCCATCACGAAAAGTGACCACTTACTTCAATATACTAACATTTATATTATTTGTAGGTAGACATTAACGCATGTTCTAAAAGCAGGGTTCAGTACTTTCTGTCATTAGACATTTGGTCTCAAGAACTGCAAAAATCTACTAATTTAGACTATTTTTTCGATATCATAAATGAAGAAGTGTTATTCTAGTAAAAATGTGTACATTTTTGTAGGTTCTGGAAACGACATTTAGTTTCATTTTTGCGTATAAAATTTCTATAAGCATGATTGATTGCTTTATTTTATTATATATAGCGATGTTCCAGAACCTACAATAATCTTTTTATAATCAAAATTGTTTCCGATTTTGTCCATTTTGGATTCCAGGAAAAGGCCATACACAAATTATATTACTTTATATTTTAGCAAAACATTATTTTCTAATAACCAAATCGTTCATTTCATTTAGCGTTACTAACTAGTTCTATGCTCTAATGGGTATATAATAAACAATTAAATAATATGTGTAGCACATACGCTGAACAATAACAAAACCAAAAGGAGATAACTCAATTGGAAATTGTAAATAATATGTTGTTAAATGAGAAGATGTCATTCCTCTGGTATAATTATTAATAAATTCAAAATTTAAATATTAAACAAAGATCAAATAATTTTATTATGGCATTGTTCGAATGAAAATATTTTTCTTTAATATTGGATATAATTTACATTAAATGTTGGAGTTGTTTTTTAGATATAGAAAGAGTTATGTATCTCATTCTATTCGCAAGATCTGAAGCAAATGGCAATTTTGGGCATGTTGCAATATTTTTTCAACAGATGTCTTATTCGTCGCATCGAATAAAATTAAACAGTAAACATGTACATCTCAATTAGATTGGAAACCTTATAAAAATAAGACAAATATTGGTCCAAAACGTGGAATTTCTTTGCTAATTTAAATCAGTTAACTTAATTAAAAGTAAGTTTTATAATCGTTATATCTTTATGTATATTATATAGCATATCATATTTATTTAATTGGCGTAAACCCTAACAAATGTGTTCATTTTAATCTAACAAAAAATTATTCTCGAATAATTTAAAAGAGATAATCCAAATACAAATAAATTACCTCATTTCATTAAAACTGTTTTGGTATGCTCAAAGCCAAAGGTTTTTGACGTCCAATTTTTGTTATCGCTTCTTTTGTGACAACATTATTTATAGAAGAAATTGGAATATGTTTAACAGTATTCAGTAATATTCGATTTTATTTTGTACTCTACAAGAATTTCGTTAAGTTTGTTCGCTTCGTTTTTTAATATATATATTTTTTTAATATATATTTTCATTTGGACCTACAAATTATAATTAATCCAAAAATTGACACTTTTTTTAATGCAAACACATTATTGACATATTGAAAACAATGATATTTGTTTCTAATAAGTTAATAAACAAATAGAAACACCCTAGACAAGACAGCCTGTGGAAGTGATCTTTCTTATGCTCATTCACATGACTTAGTTAATATATTTTTTAGAATTTTCAGTTTATTTACTTGTATTATTTTTTACTCTCTTTTGAAACAGTCTAAAACTCTGATAAGATAACAAAATAATTGTACACACTTTATCCACACATGTATATATATGTACATTTTAATAAATATTGAGTCAACAAGTGACCACTTAAACGTTAACACATTCTCAAATGTTTTTTTTTTAACTCTTCTTACTTTTCGTTTCGAAAATTTCACAATTCCATTTATTGAAAATAGAAATTTCCGCTATTACATTAAACACATTTTAGCTTGGAAAAAATATATGTATGTTTATTAGCGAAAAATTTTGTGTCGTTTTATTTGCGTTGATATGCTGACTGCGAATTGCTCGACAAGACTAGCAATGCTCGTTGCTGAGTTTAGTACAAACGTGACGAATGTCCACTGGGTTTGTCGAGAACACAAAAATAATAATATCAAATCTATTCACAGAGAGATTCTCTTAAAATGTTTACAAAAATACTCTTTAAATCGCGACGACATCGGGTGTTTGTCGAACAATGAACGCTTAACAAACCATTCACCTCCTTTTGAGTGGTGCATAAATATGGATGTAAAATGTATATGAAATAATATAAACGATAAAAGTTGACAAATTTAATATGTGTGTAGTGTCTTAAGTTTGCTTTAGTCGTCAGGGGACTAAATTTTTTTGAGATAAAGCAATAATAAATCGAAAAGAAACATTTTACAAAAGACGGTTACAGTTTTAGAAAACGTTGTTATTTTACTAAATTTTGTTTATTTATTGTTTATCTAAAAAAATGTATGTTAGAAGTCAAAGATTTAGTTGATGAGTAATACTCCTAAGATATAGAATTAAAATTATTAAGTGGTATTAATTTTGTTTGTGGCTTTGTCCCCTAAACATGATAGAATATATAACGTAATTTGTTTAGTAAGATTTTTATCAGAATCTAAAATGAATTTAAAGCACTTTCAAAATAAAGGGCTCATATGCTACATCAACAACATTTTCTTTAAAAGTAAAATTTGCTCTAAATAACCTGCCTTTGGTCCCGAGATTTATCACTTGATCATATAAATTAGTGGCAAATTGAGATACTAGAACAGTGTATTAAATATTACAATAATAAAGAATATTATGTGAACAACAAAATTGGTGTCTCCTGTCGTTTGTATTTAAATGGAAACATTCAATACAAGTTCTCCAAACCCCGATTAAATGATAAAGATTAATTTTAAATTCTTCAATTTTTATAATACTTCACTTGAATGTAAAAATTAGCTACAATTTGTTTTTAATGTATACGAATGACACTTTGCCTTCTACTTACTTACAATTGAATAGTGACACTAATCCTTTACTTTATTGCATTGTAACGTCGTTCAATAGAATGTCTACAATTAACTGCTGACGCGAGAATAATTGAAATTTGTTCTATCCCTAATCCCCAAAGTCATTTTAATAACAATGGTGTGTAAATTTATTATTAATTAAACAACAACAGAGTAAAAACATGCATCTAAATTACATTTGAACTATAAATGTTTACTAAATTATACTCACAATGTATTGTTTGGAGGCAAATGAATAAACATGTGCACACCTCTTTTTCTGTTGAATATCCAGAGATAAAATATTTATCACCAATGCGCGAACATTATTGTGGGTTGTTCGTTCAATTACACAAAATATTTGTTATTAGTTTTGACAATGTAATTATTGGAAAAAAGTTTACTCTGTTTGCAGACTGATGATGGAAGACTGCGTTATTCATACGCCGCCCACAAAATGTAATCTAATCGGAAATAATCTTCAAAGCAAGCAGACGAGCTGTAATGCAGGAGGCATTTGCACATAGGTATTTGTATCTATGTGTGTATGGGATAAAAGAAGAAACCTTAGAATTACATTTAAGCAAATAATTGAGGAATGGTAATATTCAGTGTATGGAAAGGGAGGGAGTTTATATTTGCCTGTTAATAGGACTTGTTTCTTTGTCCTTAAGCATCCATTAATGTAATTAATGAAAACAAAAACTAAGACATATCAGATAAAATAAAAAATAAATAAGTTGATAAAAACTAGTCTTATTTGATACATTTTCTTTCAAATAGGGTCCGGTTATTCATGACGTTACTTTATTTTTTATGCACAACTATAAAAAATGTTTGAAAATTATATATTAGGTTCGTAATTGAAATAATTAGTGGGGAACAATTTAAGGTATGAATTAAATATTTAATTTTTCAACTTCAATATTATAAACAAAAAAATTGTAAATCTTTGAATGATAACATCGTGAAGCTTTGTGAATTTAGAAGTGGCTACATAGCGCCAAATGCATAATGTTTAAGATCAATCAATCAATTTAGTGTGTACCACAAATACCGCTTGAGTTCATTAATACTGAAAAGGTATTGCCAAAAACTCCATCTTAGGATTTTATCTTGGCGATATATGAAATTTAAATTTTTCAAAATGTTAACCCTTTTTGCAAAGACATACCACGAGAAGTAGGTGTAACGATAGGGACCATCTTTGAACTCGAATTAGGATATATAACATTATTATAATGGGTAATACCTGGACCGAATTGGGCACTCAGTTTGTTTCATATAAGATTAGCCATTTTTAAAGAATCTAAGGCTTCGTGAGGAGCTACCAGAAGGAGCCCTAGATTGATTTATGTTAAAAAATAGGATAATATGCTACGTTAGAATAAAATGGGATACTAAATTCACCGATCGTCTCCATGTTACCATTTGCTCTAAGTGTAATATGCCATATTTGGACTCAATTTATTATCGTCTTCGTTATACAATCTTTTGAAGCGACAGACAGTCGGTTATTTCTAAATCGACTACAAATTTTTTGAAATATATTTGGTTTGAAGACACAGGTGTTTAAAATCGATATTTCGATGAGCCACATTTTTGGTTTAATTAGCTTTGGTACAAAAACAAATTACCTTAGAAACATTAAAATATTTGGTTGGGGAAAAAAGAAATCAATTTTTTATATGAACTGTAGGACTTTATTTAGCATGCTTCGGAATGACCGATTTGGGACAAATTTGCACCGTTTTGTTGTATAATTTGTTGCCACTTCAAATATAACTTCATAATTTCTCTCTCATAGAAGTCCATCCCTCTATTTGCAAAAAAAAAAAAAAAAAAAAAAAACTCTAAGAGCCGATTTTCATAATCATGCCTAGATACCAATTTTTTATCATTAAAGAAATTTTGCAATGAATGAAAAATATGATAATGGCTTGGTACCAAGTCCGGACTGTATGGCGGATGTATTAAAACTTCTCAACCAAGGCGAGTAGATGTAGATGTTTATGACCTAGCGTAGTCCTGGTGGAACAAGACCGGCCTAATGGATTTCTTTTTCCCCAACCTAATATGTTCTAATTATCCAAATAATGCATGACAGAACGTCGTCGATGGCTTACTCCCAGTTTTATTTGACATTATCTTTTGCTAAAAATCCAAAATTATATTCCTTTTAGGATCAAACATTATCTTTTGCTAAAAATCCAAAATTATATTCCTTTTAGGATCAAACGTTATCGCGAAGGTAACCGTCAAAACTATTAATAACTGAAACGACTAAACTTTGCACTGCATCTGAGTCATTCAACACTTTATGTGTGGATCCATTGTCATATTCAATTAACCGAACTGCAAAAGCAGACACACATTTATATCGCAAATGTAACCACATATGAATGAGCAAATGCGATGTGAGCTTGCTGAAACTACTTTGCGAACCCCAATTGACTGGTTGAGTGAGTACATTTTCGGTGCATGTGTACCCAGAAATTGAAAACAAAAAAAGATACCCGTTGTTGCTGTTTATTGCTATGTGTTTGGGGGGCATTTTATCTTTGTAAATGTGACTGCGTCGTTAAAACAATGGTATTTGAATAAAAAATAATTTGTTGATATGGTATAGAATGACAATTTATATATTTATTTTTTGAAAACATAAAAGGAATCAGGACATAACCAAAATAATGCTACAACCAAAATTGTATTGTGGTCCATAACTAGAGTCGTATGTCAATTTGTGTGTATTTCGAAGAGAGTGGAAGATACATGATATCAAATATTTGGAACAAGGACAAATGCATGCATGCAGTATATGTGTACATTAGATAGATGCACATTTTAGATGACTGTATTTATTTTTGTCGACTTCAAATTACACTGTGTTTTTGCCACGAAATAAAATCATAATTACCTCTGTTGCAGTTTATAAATAATAAAGAAAACAAGCTCGTACGTAAAACAAAAGGTGGGATGGATAACAAATTCAATCGATGCACACAATTACAATTAGTATGTATTTTCTTTTTGGCCAAAACAAGTTTCACCATTTGCCCTTACGAACTGGGCCATCTAAAATCTGGCGAGCAAACATTTGTTATTTTCTTTTGTATTTTGCTATCAAAGCAAATTTTACACAAATGATTTTTTTTTTTCACGAATTATGTTTGTTTAGTTGTTGCTGCAGCTTTTTGTATCTATTATTCAATTTTGTTTCGTATACGTAGTATTTGTGCCCCCACTTCACTTCCCGATTTTTCATAAATTTAATTGCGACCGTTTTGATTGTTTTATTTAAAGTTTTCACTATTGTTTTATTATCTATGATGCGTACAATTACTTCTTTTTGCAAATAGTATTGAAATTTCACTAATTAGATAATTATTTCTTAATATTTAAAAAAAAAATAATATATGCTTTGACTGCTATACACTGACGATACACGAATGGTTTTGTCTAAAAACTAGGGATCTATAATTCGATATACGATTATTTGTTTAACAACAAGGGAGCTGAAGATTCTGTCATGTAGAATCAATCGAATCGATTCATTGCTATAAATAAATAAAATAAAGTGAGGTACAAACTAGTTGTCTGTTCCCATACTGCAAAAAATCTACTTTTTTAGATTTCGTAAAGGAAACATTGTTATCGAGTAAAAAATTGTACACAATGTGATACAAATGGACACTGAAAAATTTATATATTAAGCTTAACGGTATAGAGGGCGTTTAGACTACTAAATTCACTCAATTTCATAGGGAAGGGCTGTTTAGATAATTATCGGTCAATATTTAGCCGGTGCATGCTGAGGTGTATATTTTCACGCCACGAAAACAAGATTAGGAAAGTATGCCAAGGTAAGAAATATCTCTTATCGGTCAAGAAGGATTCAACAGTTAAAGTTCCTTGGCAGTTGTGCAGGGCATTATATGTTCGGCCCCGTCCGTCTATTCTGCCCCGCTCATTGGTTTTTACTATTATTTTCGATATCATAAAGGAAAATTTTTTATCTGGAACAGTCATAACGTTATGGAGAAATGTTTAAAATGGTAAAAGTTTGTACATTCTTACAGGTTCTGGAACCAACATTATGCTTGTATTTTAATTATTTCTTTTCCTGATATTTTAGTGGAATAAGAGCTCTTTGAATTTCAGAATACCACATCATAGTTCTACATCACGAGAGATGGAGCTATTAAGTCCCAAGAATAAATATATAACTACAGTTAACGTTAATATTTTATAAGATGATTTGGTCGCGAACCAACTATATAATCTTGCACGGCTCTTAGATGGAATTATCGAACATGTCTGATGAGCTGCTTAATTTAGGTATCTATGGGTTTGCTTTTCATGGAAATCATCGATCATTAAATTCAACTCGAAAGAGAAAACCAGGTATAATAATAACGATCGTAATAATGCAAAAGAAAAACTGCAGAACTTCTTCTATCCTCTAAAAACAAAATACAAAATGATGCAAAAAATTATTTCTTAAAATAATAATAAGAAAAAAATTGCGCACGATAATTGAAAAAAAAAATCTCGAATAAAATTGGATTTTAAATTTATAAAACCAGGTCAATTCAATGGCAAAAATTTATCCCTCCCTAAATCATTGTCCGTTTAAAGAACAAATATTTTTAACGGCATATATAATTCTGAAATATTGGTTCACGTCGAGTATGTACTATAGTTCCAGTATGCTAATTAACCTTTTGAAATATTAGAGCTTCAACTATTTTCAATTATTTGTATTGGAAAATAGTATTTTTTTGTTTACTTGTTAATGGAAATAAAATCCTTTATTATTTGAATTTCTGATTCCACTCATTAGTTTGGTCCTTTATCACCCACAAATTTTTCCAAAAATAAAAACAAAGAAAAACATTTATTTTAAATTACTATAAAACGTCGGTTTTATTTACACATGATCATTTCTAATTTAGAAATTCCTGAAAAAATACAAGAGTACACAAACATGGTCAGATACAAAATAATTTCCTTTGGTCACTTCCACAAACTTACTTGGTGATCAAACCGTCCTTCTTGGCCAAACGGACAATGCAGTCATCGGATTCACCCATACGACGGATTTCACCGCAGATGGCATAAACCTTGGAGCCATCGGTCATGCGTCCGGTTTCGGGATCAACATCGACAATGTTGATTTGGACGGAAGCGTGATCCTTAGCGTGAATGATTCTGTTGGAAGCAGAGCTGTAAATTTATTTCATTAATATTATTGTCGACTTTCGCAATTTTATTTCCAATAGTCCATTGGGAATCTACACCCATTGCGACCGAAACACGTGTTACACTCACCATTTGCGGGGCACGTACAAATCAACATTCTCACCGGCGTCGTTCTCCATTGTGCTTAACTGCAATTATTTGTTTTTGGTTAATAATCATTGTAAACATGTTTGATGCACAATTTGTTGTAATTTCGATGAAATTAACTTACTTTTTTTAAGAAATTAAAAAATTTGCGGACACTCTTTTATGGAGTTAAAAAAGAAAAGAAAATATCTAGGGTTGGTAGCACTGACGGTTGCTTTCTTGAGTAATCGTTATGCGGTGTTTGGTATTCGATAATGGCTGAATATAAAGAGAAACGATAATTGTATATCGATTCGCTATTGTGATTTATATTTATTTTTAAATGTTATGTAAAAAATATATATTTCCTTTTAAATCTGACAAAATAATAAGGTTGGTTTCTGTAAGGCCTTGGGAATCAAAAAGGCTTTATAAAAAACAATATTTTAAAGGTCACTTCCTTTTGGTGATAAATATGGGCATGTTCAGGTTACATAAAAAGGAATTTGAATATTTATTTTAGTTTTAAATATTTATTACCATTGAATGATTTTTATTATTATTTATTTTAATTGTATATGCAAATAACTTGCAAGAAGTTCATTTTTAATTACGATAACAATTTTTTCTAGACAAAAGTACTAAAAATGAGTATATTCTTGTAGTGTTGGTATATTCCCAATTTTTCCTTTGTTGTTATGTATTAAAATTAGTTACTTCCTGTAAACGTGCAATAAATGTGATTTTACACAGCAGCACCATTTTTATAAGCAAAATGGATAGACTCATGGCATAATTACAGAAGGTAGTCTTATATGAGAAATTTTTAATGGCAACCCTTTTTAAGTTGGAATTCATCTATAAATTTCTAATTGTTTGAAAAATAAATTTCAAAAAATTTTATGCATGTCGAATGACATATTTTTGAAATTAAAAATATATACTTTCTGTAAATAAATATCAAAATGATTTGATTAATATTGTTCCTATGATATAAATATAGATGTTACAACTTATATTTATAGAATATAGAGACTGGGAACTTCAAGATGTTAAAAATTTTGTAATTATTGCCACTGATAACCCTCATTTACATTTTGAAAACTGAATGTTTTCAAAAGTAAAATTATGAAAAAATTGGAATAATTATGTCATGGGTTAGACTGAAGCATGGTAAAATAATACAAAGTAGAATAACTTGAGGTTCATAACAAAAAAGCAACTCTGTAGGTAGTGGCTTCTTCTGTCAAATATAAAATAATTATTGTTATTTTCCCGTACTGCAAGAATCAACTAGATTTTACTATTTTCTTCGATATCATAAAGGTAAATTCGTTATCGTTGCAATAAGTAGTAGATTCTTGCAGTACGGGAACAGTCCATTGGTCTTGCTGTACGGGAACAGACCATTGGTCTCAAGATAGGTTATTCGTATTCGAAGAATTTCGTCGTATTTGATAAATACGTGTTAGTTAAGTGAAGGCTTAACAAATAGCCATTTTGAAAAATTTTCTATTAAGCCCGTGGGCGTATTATACTTTTTAAATTGCGTCCTCCTGACGAACTGTTAACTATTTTCTTTCAAAAACAATTCTATGGACTGACACATAATTATCGAAACCCAATATTATCAAATTTTTATTGTGAATGAAGAATTTCTGTTTAGGGCTTCACACGCCGACTTTCAACTTTTTTGGCTCCGTTATTCTCTTCTCTTTCTAGTTCCTTCAGGAATTACTGAAAAATCCTCAAAGTATGTAATCTGTCAGTAGTTGATTTGTTATTGTATTTATAATTTTCATAGTGTTAACATAGAAAAGATTGTGCCTAAAAGTATGCAACGTTATGGAGAAAAGGTGAATATAAAATTAATTTAAAATGTGTTATCTTCATTTTAATGTAATAAATTTATTGGCTAAATGAAAAGAATTTATTAAAAAGCTTTAAATTCATATTAAAATAACTGTGCAAAAGAAAAAAACATAAAAATCAAAATTTCTCCTTATTTATTGATTTTTTAACAATGTTATGAAATTTATCCTTTGAACTGGAGCCATAAAACTTTAATTAAAGTGTACATATGCTTCGACTATATACTCTCACACATATTGTGTGCAACTCTAAGTGCAGACCCATTGTCGGATACGTTATTTTCTTAGTTGCTGTACTTTCGCAATGAAGTTTTATGTGTGTCTGGTCATGTCTGTTTTAAGGTTTACAACATTTTCTACACAAATCTTAGCTGTGCTTTCTCGCCCATTCATGCAGTGAGGACTCACTATTCACAGCTATTTATAAATGTACATAATGCATACCACTTTTTTCATAAACCAAGCAACCATCCAACCGACTGTCGGTCGGTCGGTTGTTTGGGGGGGTGGATGTTACGTTGATTTGTTGTTTGGCTCGCGAACAATTCATTGAACTGTGGATGTGTAGACGGCTGCGGCAGGCAAAACAACAATCCTTTTAATTTCCGTTGTAGAAATTGTGGGGGCTGTATGTGTATACGTGCTTTTTATTGTACACAACTACATACATATGTAAATACATAGCCATACATATATTTTTGGTATGCCTTGGGATTTTCTTCTAAACTGTTGCATGTTTTCTTACACAAATTGTGACTTGTGTTAGGTCAAAATTAAATGAGGGTGATTTCTTTCTGCCGCATGTACATGGACATTATACACCTGTTCTCCCATCGAATAGATTATAAATTATGAAAGAATGTATTTGTATATCAATTGAAGTCTTAATTATAATGATGTGAGAGATATTTTTATCATTCAGTTCATAAATAATCGTGTATATTTTTAAACATTAACTTCTATAGAGAATAATTTGAAGAGGAATTTCACTTAATTTCACCATTTTCAAACGGTTGGTATATGGACTAAATTTTTTTGTGGCTCTGCACTATAGGTAATTTGGACAGTTTTTGGGCAAAAAGTCATTTTTTCAATTTTGGAAAATAAAATCTTTTTTGATGTCATTAAAAAGAAAACATGTCAAATTTTATGAATCTGTAAGATTTTTTGCGTAAAAGTGTCTTAAAAGCGGTGAAAATCGTTGCCAAACTCTAAACTTTGAAAATAAAATTAAAGAAATAAAAAAATTTAATAAATCAAGTCGTATTTTAAACCGTTTAAAACCGCTAAATTCAAAGCATAAACATAAAAGTTAAACATGGAGAGTATTAATGGTATAATTATAATATTTTCAATATTTGGTTTGATGAAAGAAATAAAAGTAAGGAAATATATTGTTGTTCACAACGTCCCCGCAAGTAAAATTGCCAATAACAACAATATGGACGAAAAATACGTCAAATTAAAATAGGAAATTAGGTTATTTTGCATGCATTTGTCAAGATGCACCAAATGACATTAGAAGATAGAACTTTTCCGCGAAAAAACGAATACGCACGAATTTTGATTACAAAACAAATAACGTGACTCTTAATCCGCAAATAAGTTGTTGGTTGGTTTTATCTCACTTTTACATATTAATGTCCTTAAGGAGTATTAGTGGGTACTGTATTAATAGTTATTAATGCATTCTGCAAAAACATACGACATTGTAATAATTATTCCTTTAAAAATTTAATCGCGGGGTCGAAATTTTATTAAATTACTACTCTAATCGTTTTCAATCGTTTGTTGTGTATAAAACATCTAATGAAAATATCTGAAAAGTATTAGCTTTGTTCGTTATATGTGTAGTTGCTTATAACCGTTGTTCGTTATATCCCGTTTTTACTGTAGAAATCTGCGTTTTCTCTTTCTTGTACATATACATCATTTAAAAAGTCAAAAAATCGTTTAAAACCGCTGTTATTAATTTTTTCCTAAAAACAGGGCAAATTACCTATAGTGCTCTGGTATGAACAATGATTATTCGCAAAAAAAATCACAAAATAACAGACATTTGATTTTTTTGAAAATCTTTTTTTCAACCAAAAAACATGTAAAAAGAAGGAAGATCTACACCGATCTGATTACTAGTTAATACGTTAGTGTTAAAATTTAGACACGATTGGTTTATTGGTTTTTGAGTAAAAGTTTAAAGTTTTTAATTTGGGCATTAAAATCGCCTGATATTGGATTTTTAAGAACTGAAAAGTTTGACCCTTTGTGGGGGAGACACCAAAAGGAGTGGACCAATGGGTCCCATCTCCAGACTTGATTTAGGCTTGGTAAACATAATAGGTTGTGCTAAGTTTGGTTCAAATCGGACATCCCATTCGCCTGATATTTGATTTATAAATAGTGAAAATTTTGACAATTTTGTGGGAGGTGTCAGAAGGAGTGGATCAATAGGTCTCATCTTCAGACATGATGTGGGCTTAGTAAAGATAATAGGTTGTGCAAAGTTTGGTTCAAATCGGATAGTCCGTTTGGATGATATTACAAAATTGAATTTCAGCAACATTTGGACCATTTTGTGGGCTAGGCACCAGATGGAGTGGACCTATATTCCCATCTTCGAACCTGAACTTAGGGTAGAAGAAATATTACGGTTTACAACGTTTGGATGAAATCGGTGAATCCTTTTGAGGGTTATCGTGCACATCAGCCGGCCGGCCAATAGACACCAAATTGTTTGAAATGGATTTGGTCCAAAGAAACATGGGGTAAAAACCCAATATTTTGATGAGACATATTTTTGAATATTAATCATAGTGTATATACCTTATTAGCCATAAGGCTGAGGGTATAAAAATAGATTTGGACCCCCCTTTGTGATTGACATCTTTCGATGTCGATATTCGATTATAAATGCATTATATCGAATTCGTGTCCATACGCCTTAATCAATAATTTATAAACAAGAACCTTCAATGTAGGCAGTTCCATTTTTAATAAAATTTTTAAATTACCGTAAATTGATGGTACGTTTATAATAACTATGAACCAATATTAATATTATATTTATTGGTAGGCATTAATTTTAATGTAGTAGGAACAAATCGGTCCAATTTTCAATTTTGGGACCGAAATTTTAAACAACAATGAACGTTTGGATGTGCCCATATTTCTATAAATACACAAATCGGGGATCAACGATATACCTAAGTAGGTATCGAACATAACCTGTATCGTATTTTCTTCGGAAGTAAGCTTGTTTGAAACTGACGAACGTATGTAAATCGTCTGAGAATTTTCTCCTGGTTAAGAATATAAACATTAGACCATAAGTGATGTGGTGGAGGTTATTATGGAATATAGAGTAAATAGGTGAGGTAAACAATTCTAATGTAAAAATGGAATAGGTTATCTGAGGGCTACCCAGAAGGGTGGACCGATATTGATCATATTTTTTTTCCCAATAGCAATATAAAATATCGTACTACTGACAAATACAGTTCTATATCAACTCGTTTAGAATCGAATTTTATCCTGATTAAGAGCCTAGATTTTAGATTCCGAAAATTCAGGTTACAATCCATGAAAGGTAAAATAGTTAAAAAATATTTTATAAATTAGTTTCATTTATTCTTTGCTAGGGCAATCGGAAAACATACCAATTGATGTTCTCTCTACAGGGTAGTAGCACACAGCAACAACACAATCAAGAGAAATAACAGAGCCAAAAACTAAAGACCCAGTCACACAATACACAGTCGATTCACAGAGACCAATGTTACGTTATGTTAGTTGCATTTTAGCGGCGAACGGCGCTACAACACGTTTCGTCTTCCACAGAGATACTTAGTTCGGCCGGTGTTGTTCGTTCGTTAACTTATCTATGGCAAATGAAAAAAAAAACAACAATGTGCCTGAGATTCAAAATATAAACAAAAGCAAAGAATAAGAGTTTGTTGTAGTTTGCTTTTTAAATGAATAAAAACGTTTAATAATATGCAAATATTTGGAATAAATATTTAGTGAATAAAAGGGGGGAATCTTAATGAATTGAAAGTTTATATTGGAAAATGTAAATAACTAAACAAATACGGGTATTGATTTTATTTATTATAAAAGTGATCTCATATCAAAGATGACCGTTAAATGTTTCATTTCATTTTTTTTCGATTTAGTTTAACCGGTTCAATGAATCAAGTGTAAAGTTCTTATTTCATTCGTTGCAATATGTAATCGTGTTTGTTTTCTTTCCCGGGGTTCACCGTTCAAATAGAATAGTGCAATTTACAATTTCCGTAGACAAATAACAAAAACAACAACAATAATAATGCAACAGTCGTGCTGTGGTTAAATGTTTAAATTAAAACAACAATGACCCGCTTTGTGGCACAGAAGAAATTCAACAACAAAAGCACCAACAAATTGTTGCTAATTAATATGCAGTGTTTTTTGTAGTAATAATAAAAAAATGTTTAGAAATTTTGCAGAGCCACCAACGTGTCAGTGTGCAACCAAGAAATTACCGGTCGCAAATGATAGACGAACCTATTAACTGAATTTGGACATATTAAGGTCTTTAGTTACACGAAGCTGCAGAAAAAGGAAAATAGTTATATTGGATAGATGGCAGGAAATTAAATACAAGGGTAGATTATCGTAGCTTAATCACCATCTGTTGACAAACTACTGTTCCTTTATTTAGAAGGCGTTTAACAGCTGTTCAAAATTGACAGGCTCGAGGAATAGAATATCTACTATGGAAGCTTCAATTTTTTTTATCTCACTCTTATTTTTATACGATGTTGCCAAAAGTGACCATTTCTAAACCTTAAAGTGAAAGAAGTTCAGTGGAAAGAGGTTCAGCTTAAAAAACTGACCTATATTACACCTGTCCGAGAAGAGTTAACCAAATAAAGTCCCTATTGGATATCGATTCTCTAACTCTAGTAGTCGATTTTCACAATCCTCCCTAGATATCAATTTTGGTA